TGCGTAGGGCAAGCCAATGACACCTTTGGATGGACCGCGCCCGATGGCATCGAGAGCGGCGCGCCCTTGCTCCGTATCAAGCTGCATTATGCCCGCGAACGCGAGCTCGATGGTTGTTTCGATGAGCCACTCGCCAGACCGTAGCGCTGACCACATGACGTTAAAGTTGGGCATGGAGCGGTACCCATGCGCAAAATGAACAGCGTCGTCGTGGTCGCGCGTCAATTGGCTGACGTCATTCGTGAGCTGGTGCACGGCTGCAGACGAGGAGACATTGGGTACATGTCGTCGAGACGAAGAGCGCTTGGACTACCTAGTGAGCATTGTAGCGTCGAGATTTGCTTGTGAGCGCCTTGCCGAGGGATTCGTGGCCTTTGACGCGTTGGCCATCGCTTCGTGGGTGCTCGGGTTGGCTGGCGACGCCTTAGTGCGCTTCGTCACCGGCAGGACCACAGCGTTCAACTTGGCAGCACTCTTTGTCTTGTCCATGGCAAGGGCGGGGCGGGTTGGGGCGGTGCCGGTTTGGGAGCATGTTGTCCCTCGAATGCTAGTACCCGTCGTCACCAAGGGACATACGCCACTGTAAATATGTTGGCTCGCAGTGCTTAGGGATGCTTGCGATTGAAGTTCAGTGAGAGAGGCTTGCAGCGAAAGTGGGCCGTTGATCATTCGGACGAGAACATGGTGTAGAGAAAGAAGTTCAAACGTCAATGCTGGCGACCGAGGGCTGTGTTCCAGGTGGGTTCTGAGGCGTAGCCGACCCACCGCAAAGTGGTCCATCAAGCGATGAGAGTGGGCGTATTGAACGACTGGATACAGACCGACAGGCGCACGGAGTCTCACACAACGCGCGACTCGCATACGGAAGGATATCAATGTTGAATCGCTCAAGTTTGCGCACGCGGCAGCGAAGTTCGGGCGCGGGCGATCGACCGCAAAGCGGTTTGACGAGCGTCCTAAACGTGCTAAATGACGAATTGCAGACGCGCATGCAGTGTCAGAGTATGCAAAGTTGCTGAGACTCTGACGTCGAGCGCAGTGGCACCATAAGCGAACAGTGTTTGAACGACTGTTGCGACGTGGAAAGCTCCAGGTGTGACGTGCCCACGCCTCAGAACCTCTCAGATCGCATCAATTCGCACGCAGATCAAGTGCACTGAACGATTCTGTGCAGCAGCAGGATCGAACGAAGCGCGTTGTATCCTCTTCGCAGCAAGGGTGACTTGAGTTTTTATGCACCCAATTGTCGCGGTGGGTATCCGGATATGATGCGGATGCGACATGTGCGATCTTGCGTGTGTCACCATCGTCTGGCCACCTCACTTGCGAAGAAGACGGACGCGATGCTGGTGCTACTGACGGCTGCCGTGCTCATCAGCACCGAGAGCGTGCGCTCGGCGCTCGAGGCGACCTTCGCGTGGGGCGTCGCCCTCCTCGTGGACCACACGCAAGAGTTCTTCTGGGGCCTCTTGCTGCTCACGTGCTTTAGCCTCCTCAGCTACATCATGGAGCCGGAGAAGCCCAAGGGTCCGAAGGCGTCGCAACCGCGCTGGGAGCTCTTCCGTCTCTCCAACTACTTTGTCATCGCCGTCTTTGTCGTCTCGCTCGCGACCCTCTTGTCGCACGAGAACCGCCTCGACCACCGCGCCCCGAAGCCGAACCCGCTCGTCCTCTACGGCGCTGCCGCGGCGTGCATGCTCTCGCTGACGTATTTTTTGCCTTCTTCGCTGTGGGCTTTGTCTCGAACCAAGTCGCCGACAGCGACGATGAAGACAAGTGGCCCGCAAAAGCGCCTCGCAAGTGCCAGCCAGAGCTCGCACCCGCCACGCCGCTCGCCGCGGACGACGCCCAAGTCCTCGATCTTCTTACGACCAAGGACCCTGTGACGGGTCGCCCGCGCATGGCACTTCATGAGCTCGAGAAGAAGCTTGGTGACATGGAGCGCGCCGTTCACTTGCGCCGGGAGTACTTCAAAGCGCAAAGCGCCCTCGACTTTTCCAACTTGCCCGTGCAAGGCTACGACTATGCCAAGGTTGACGTAGAGCCTCCATCCATGCGTCGTTGCTCATGCTACTATCTAGATCTACGGCAGCAACTGTGAGGTTGTGGTTGGGTATGTTCCGCTGCCCGTCGGCCTCGCTGGCCCCATCCAAGTCAACGGCGAAAACGTCTTTTTGCCTATGGCCACGACGGAGGGTTGCCTGATTGCTAGCACGAATCGCGGTTGCAAGGTGCTGAGCATGGGCTCCGGCGTCCAGAGCATCGTGCTTGCCGACGGCATCACACGCGCGCCATGCGTTCGCTTTCCCCGTGCGCGCGACGCGGCGGCGCTCAAGGCCTACCTTGACGACGCAGCCAATTGGACGGACGTCGCAGCTGCATTCAACTCGACGACGCGCTATGGGCGCCTGACGTCGATCAAGACGATCCAGTCGGGACGCAACTGCTACGTGCGTATCGTGTGCAACGCTGGGAACGCCATGGGCATGAACATGGTATCCAAGGGGACGCTCGCCGTGCTCGGCCATCTCCAGGTACAATGACAGCCAGACGTGATTCCTTTTGTCATACGACGGATGATGATGTAGGAGCGGTTCCCGGACATGGAGCTGGTGGCGATCTCGGGCAATGTGTGCACTGACAAGAAGAGCGCCGCGATCAACTGGATCGACGGCCGAGGCAAGAGCGTCGTTGCCGATGCGGTGGTCAAGGCCGACGTTGTTGCGCGCATCCTGCACACGACGGTTGACAAGCTTGTCGATTTGAACTTGCAAAAGAACCTCGTGGGCTCGGCCATGGCTGGGGCGCTCGGCGGCTTCAACGCGCACGCAGCCAACATTCTCACGGCCATCTTCCTCGCGACGGGCCAAGATCCGGCGCAGAACGTCGAGTCCTCGAGTTGCATGACGATGCTCGAAAAGACCAAGGACGGTGATCTCTACATTAGCGTCACAATGCCCTCCATCGAAGTGGGCACTGTTGGCGGCGGCACGCACCTCGGCCCGCAGCAGGCCTGCCTTGGACTTATGGGGTGTGCACCGCACCAGGTCAACGACGATGCGACGACGGAACAGGGCGCGCGTCGTCTTGCATGCGCGATCGCGGCGGGCGTCATGGCCGGCGAGCTCTCGCTTCTCGCCGCCATCTCCACGAACGAGCTCGTCAAGAGCCACATGGAGCTCAACCGCAAGAAGTAGGCTTCCGACTGTACATAATTCTTTGTAACACGCCTTCTGATTGGCTGATTGGAATCTTGACGGGTCGTCGTAACAGACGCGCATGCGGGCCGAGCACGGACTCTGGTTTGGCGAGTTGCCGCGGCCAGTGACGGCGAAAGATGCCACAGGTGCGGTTGCCACAGCCCGACGTTCCGTAGGATGTATGCCCTCGTACCATGCTTCATTGCTCGTGCTAGTTAGCGCTGCAGCTCGCGGTGTGCGCGCCTCAGCATGAGCGGGTCTGGGGCGACGATGTGGCCGCCATTCCGGCTGCGCTTGCCGCGTACCTCGAGGTGCTAGATGCGCAAGACAACGATGGACCATCGCTGGACGCCGACTTTTCGTGGGAGCACGCATGCGTCGAGTCTCTGCCGCTAGTGTCGTGGCGTGACCGTGACCACGCATTTGTCTTGCTCTGCCTCGGATTCTTGACCGCTCTGGAAGCCGAAGTGAAAGCCCGTGATGAGGATGACGCGGTCGGAGTCACCGACGTACGTGCACGTTCTGTTTGCATCCTCATGCGAGCAAATGCGTAGCGCTGGCGCCGCGCCGCAGGGTACTTCGGCGATGCTTCGCTCGGTATCTTTCTGGCTTTCGTCGTCTCAGCGCCTTGACGCAATGAGATAGCGACGTTGCCTCATGCACGCCTGTGGCTACAGCTCGCAGTCGTCGCTGCCCATGCGTCCGAACTGCGAAGTGTTCGTTTTGATACTGCGTTCCACGAGCAAACGCGTTGTGTAGGTTGAAGCTGCAGAGACTTCGAAAGTGCAGCTGGCGCGGTACCACTCGGCCGTAAGTCGAAGCGCTTTCAGCGCGTGTGTCGCTGCATCCGAAGCAGTCGACGCACTCCCACCCGCAGTCCCGTACGCCGACTTCTGCTCGGAGGACTCTGACGACTTCGTCTTAGCTTGTCGCAGCAGCTGCGCTGGCTATTGAGTGCTAACAAGGTCGTATGTCGAAATACCTACTGGCAAAACGAAGCCATAGTCTTTGCGGACGCGCACCAGCCGCGTAAATTACCTCTGCGTGGATCCCAACGTACAATAGCAGTGTAGAGCTGGCACTCGTCTTCACGGACGCTGTTTCCAAGTCGAAGCTGCCGATTCCGCCCCAGTATTCACACTGCGCGTGCCGAGCGTTCACAGCACTGATACACAACACTGTAAGCGGCCACCAAGCGTTCCTCCAGTGGGCGCTAGAAGAGAAAGGCCGTCTCCAAGCCGCCGTTCAAGCTCCACCCCTAGCACGTACGACACCATCTCTCATCTGCGATGAATAAGAATGCTGCCAGACGACCAGCTCACGCGGTTTCTATCCATCGCACCCCTCTCCTTAACGTCCTTGCAGCCTCTCCCAGAATCGACGATGCTCCAACCAGAATCGACGATGCTCCAGCCAGAATCGACGATGCTCCAGCCCAACGATGGAAATCAAACCGAGGCGAAGAAGTCCGTCAAAGGACGGCTGGTCACGTTCCAGCCCACAAACCGAGACGAGGCGTGGACATTGGCACCCAGTCCCTCGCCAAGCGTTCTCCGAAACGTACACTCGGTGCCGTCGCTCACGCCCCGGGTTATTGCACTTGAATGTTGTATCGTTTTCATTTCGCTAGTAGACAATGCTACGTCCATCAACAAGCATGCTGGAGCTGGCACTGCCATCGTGCACGAACGACCCTTACCACTGCCACCGATCGCTCTCCGTCTTCAAGCGCAAGACGTGCGGCCTCTGTGAGCGCGCCTTCCCGGTCGATTGGAGCAATGAACAGAACACTAGTGCTTACGCATTCAAAGTAGGCAGGGAATCTTCCGGGCGAAGTCGTGCGACGACGCATCCTCGAGTTGCGCGTCTTTTGGGGCGTCGAGTCGGAGAAGAACCCCAAGCATGCACCGGCGTCATTCCTCTACCACACAGTTCGCGTCTGCTTGCTTTGCCACGAGATTCTTTCGGCACCGCCCACCGCCGGCGCCAACCACGCGCTTGCGACCGAGGCCTCCATCACAACGCACGTTGGGCGCCTGCGCAGGCACAGCGCTCTCACGACGGCAGCCAAGGCGGATGAGATCGGCTACATGATCCACGAGTCGATTCTCAACGATGCGCTTTTGCTGCTGGAAGCACCTGGCCACCTCCACCGTCGGCGGGACGTTACGCAGCGCCCCAACGTACGCGCGACCATGAGCTCCAGTCTACTTCTCGGCGTTGCCGCCAACGCTATCGATCGCCGCGCGACCCGGAGCATCCACACCCAAGAGGAGCTCGGTAGCCTCGATCGTGGACTGCCAACGCGTAATAATGCTGCTGCTGTGTGTCTAGCGCCGTGGTGGGAAGTCGATCTCGGCACGCACTGCTCGATTTCGTCCGTCGAGATTTGGAACTGCGTCGACAGCGACCCGTGCGTCGCCGAGTGCCTCTTTCCGTGCCACATTGTGCTGCTCATGAAGCCTGGCCACGGACGCGACCTGCTCACGCTCACTGCCCTCGGTGTCGACTCGACCGTCGTCCACAGCGTTGTACGAGCAGCGAGAAGAGACCCGGATGGACATATCGCGTGTGTAGGTCCAGCCTGTTCGATGGGAGCCCAAGGCAGGCAGCATTGCCCGGTAGTATTTTGCCAGTGCCACGGATTCTCACCAAGTCACGCTCTAGCTATGTGCGCGTGGTTGCCAACAAGTGGACGTATCTCCACGTCGAGCGCATTCACGTGTTTGGGTCGCCCGTGCAGCAAGAGGCTGACACCCCCAAGAAGAAGCGGCCGTCGTCGACGGGCACGTCGTCAAAGCTGCGTCTGGTCCGGATCGACCCCACGAGCGTCTTTAGCCGCCCCAAGAGCGCGGGTTTCCTTGTCCCGACAGCTAGCAGCCAAGTGCGATCCCAAATTGGACACGAGATTCGCGCCCAGCTCGACGCCGAGCGAGCCTGATATTTGGACACTTGAATTACGCTAAGCGAGCTGCACTTGTGTCGATGATCGATCCCAGTCTATCTCAGAATGCCGTTGCAGACGCTCGGCGACGTGCATGGACCCGCCGACGTCATGAACGCGTGGTTCTTCCACTTGGCAACGCCGTTCGCGTCCGACGAGAGGTGCTACAATGGTCCATTTATCGGTGCATGAGCTGCTGCTGTTCCTACCTCGCCAGCGACGACAACCACCTTCTTCTTCTCAACCTGCGCCGGCGTCCACGGCTCGCCAGAGAGCCCTTCGTAGTGAATGCGCTCGCCGATCTAAATCACGCGTCTCGAAATGCATGGCACAGAATTTCCGCACCTTGGCGTTGGCTGGCGGCTCGACGAACGCGACGCGCTCCGATCCATCAGCGTCGGTCGCCACTGCGCAGAGCACCATGCCATGACTCTTGAAGCCCACGAGGCTGCGCGGCTTGAGGTTGCACATAACGAGGAGCATGCGTCCCTATCGACAATGACGAGTCGGACACTTGGGTTGTCCTATTACCTGCATTTGCTCCAGCGAGTAATGCTTGACGAGGCCACTCGCAATCAAACGCGGCTCGCCCTCGCCCTAGTATGCACACCGACATGAGATCACATTTTGTTTCATGCTTCGGTAATCGCTGGACGTACGACGTCGATCTCTTCGCAGTAGAGCCTAAGCGACAAAGTTAGCTCGGTTGATTCGAGTTGTCAAGAAACTTACTTGTCCGCCGTCTCGTGCTTCCAGACCTTGGTGATCTTGCCAACACGAATGTCGAGCTTTGTGATCTCGGGCTGGTCGTCGGCCGCAGGCGCTGCCGCTGGCTTCTTCTGCTCCTTCTTTGGTTCCTTCTTCGGCTTGTCTGCCTTCACCGCCTTGGTCCCAATGGCCTGACCGGGCGCAAGGCCCAACGTGGCCTCGAGGCCCGCAATGATCTAGCGCAATGATGAGCGGAAGCCGCCACGCAGCAGCCTGCCTGGTCCAACTGTGCCAACGACGCGCTCATGACAAAATGACTGACGCTACGATTTTGTCCCGTTTCACCCAAGGATGCAGAAGCGAAGACTTGATTTGAGTATTAGTCGGATTGGGGTAAAACGCTCAAGTGGGATAAACCCGATGAACGACTGCCTGCGACGTCATTCGCAGCGTGCAGGACCCGGCGACCAGTGCAGCATGCGGCTGCACGCTGGTTGTCTCGGCCTCGACGTCCCTGGCCGCGGCCACGCGACGTTCTGAGGGTAGTCAGAGTGATGGTCGAAGCGTGGTTACAAACACTCCTACGCACGCCCCTTCGCTCGCCACTTCGAAATGAGCCGCGGTTGGGCACTTGTATTTCTGACGCTGATCCTCTCGGCCGCTGCCATGTCCCCCAAGGTCGCGCCCGCGCTGGCCACGGCCTTTGAGACGACGGACCGCGTCAACATCATGGTCGAGCTCGACGGATCGACCGAGTCGGTCGAGAACCGGTCGTCGTCCTCGGGCGACAACACCAACTACATGCACGACCTGCAAGCGTTCACCGCAGCCCGGCAGCAAGCCGTGAAGGATGTGCTCGCTTCGCATCCGACAGAGTTCACGGGCGAGCCCAAGTTTTTTTGGATCACAAACAAGGTCTCGGTGCCTCAAGCGTCTGCTGTCCTCGTCATGGAGCTCGCGGACCTGCCTTCCGTCGTCGCGATCACGGGCCAGCACATTGTCCATATCCAACCCATCTCGATCGAGCGCGAAGGTTTCTAACTACAAACTCGCTTGCGTTTCTTCTCGCAACCACCCTCCTGACGCAGCACGCTCTTCATGCGTCGAACGGAGGGGTTCTCGTGTTGTAGTCATGCTAGAGCGCGCTGATTCGACGATGCTTTCAGCAACTTCACGCCCGAGCTTCGACTGCTCGCGTGGTGCTCTGGCGCCAATACCACGGGAACTTGGCACGGTCGCTGGCTCTGCTCGAGCGAGCTTGGGAGGCTAAGATGTGACGCCAGTGGCACCTGCAACGGCGAGTTTCGATGAATATGCAGGTGCATCGGTGTGAGCTCGGCCTTCCCGAGACGCATGAAGCGACCGGGTGCTGGCACGTCGGGCGAAGTGACGTCCTGTCGCAGCTCGCACCCGACGTCGCGTCTGGCGTGGACCACGACGTGTCCGTTGGCATTCCGAAACCACGTCGGGTCGTGCTCGAGAGGTCGCAAGAGCCGTCCGACGGGCTTTTCTTTCGTCACAAGCGGTGACGAGCGTCGTCGACTTGGCGTCGTGGCAAGGGGCTTGACGTTATACTGCTCCGCGACGTGAAGACTCTCGAGGCGCCGGGCTCGGTTGGCTTTGGCTTGGAGGCACGCAGGATTGGTGACGGGTGCAGCAGCCAACTCTGTCGGGTTGAGCGGCTCGTGCAACACCAACATTGCACTGTCCAGGTCATACTCGATAGGAACCGTTTCGGTCGCCGAGTCCTTGGTGGGCAGTCGCTCTGTCATTCGGTTCTCCACCGTCGCCTCGTCTGTCGAAGCAAGGCTGGATATCCACGCCTCGGCGTCGGCTTGTTTGAGCACAGTCTTGAACTTTGTCTGCACGAGAACGTGAGATACATGGATTACTGCCGCCTCACCTTGCAGATGCTGAGGAGCGTGGACTTGTACCGGACAGCGACAATATCGTAGGGCAGCGGCGCACGGGCGAGCGTGGCGTGGGCGCACAACACGGAACCTACCGAGAGCTCTAATTTTGCGCGACTGGAGAATCTGACCTGGGTCGCAGACGTGCTGCGGCGCCGCGTCGGCCGACCGAAGCGCAAATTGACCCTCGACGACAAAGTAGATTTCGTGGGGCACACTGCCGGCGGCGAGCACCTAGTTGGCTGCCATCGCGTCACGCTCGATCCAATGCACGCCAACCTTTTGGCCCAAAATGAAGTGGCGCGCTGTGAGCAGCTGGAGTAGCGTCTCCCACGGAATCGTCTTGGCGACGTGCCTCAGGATCGGGATTGAGAGTACGACGTCCGAGTACGGGACACGGTGCAGCATCGAAAGGAACACAAATTCGTTTGCGAAACCGATGCTATTTCTTGCCGCTTAAAGTCGGGTTACGTCAATTTTGCCGGGATGGCAAGGCGGGCGTCGGCAGCGTTGCCCCAGCAGACGACGCTGCCTGAGTCGGACGCGATGCCGCAGCCATGATCCCACCCGAGGGTGAGCTCGTCGAGGCGCAGGTTCGCGGGCACGCCCGTGACGCCTTCCTTCATGCCCCAGCAGACGGCGCGCTTGTCCTCCTGATATTGTTTCGACTTGCGCCTGCTTTGGTGAGGTGGTACCTGGAGGCCACAGGCCGAGAGGCGACTGGTGCTGACAAGCAAGTACGACCCACTTGGCGCCCTGAGCTGTTGGCGGTGGTTGTCGCCCCAGCACACGACCTCCTTGGCGACGGTGACTCCGCACGAAAAGTCACCCGGCGCAGACGACACTTGCACAAATTTGACATCGTCCGGCGCCGTGCTCTGGCCCTACGTACACGCTGCTCGCTGGGCGAGATATACAAGAGGCAGCTGCGTACGCGGTGGTTGGCGCCCCAGCATACCACGGATCCGTCCACTGCCAGTGCACACGAATGGCCCTAGCCACAGCACGATGATGTGGTCTCCTTAACCCGGCGTTACCTGGCCGCAACTGACTTGGACGTAGCTGCCAGGCGGAGCGTCGAGCTGACCGTCATAATTGGCCCCTACAGCCATATTCCGCGGCGGCGATTTAGATGATAAGGAAATGTACCCCAGCACGAGAGCGCTCCGTCCTTGAGGATGCCGCATGTATGGAAGTCACCGCTACTCACTTGCACAAAGAGACCTTCGGGCGTCATCGCATGGTTGGGATCGCCCCAGCACGCGACGGTCTCGTCAAGCTTGACGCCGCATGTATGGAAACGGCCGCTGCTCACTTGGATGAACTCGGCCTACGCAGCTACGATTGCGCGTGCAGCGAAATATACGGGTCGTACGTCGGGCGGCGACGCCTGGCCCATGCTGTCGTCGCCCCAGCAGAGCACCTTGCCGCCAAAGTCGGCCGCCGAGACCGAGTGGATCGCGCACGTGTGGCTGATGCCAGCCGAGACCGTCGTGTCGTCGATGTCGACGTGCGCGACAACCGCAGCGTCGTCGTCGTCGCCCGCGACCACGCGCAACCAGAGGCTGCCCAGCAGGAGCCACGAGTACATTGTTTGTCCTTTGGATCCTACCTGGCTCCGGATTGGCTGCAATTCCGGCCAATCCGAAGCGGCGAATGAAAACGTCGGCAGCAACCTCGGTGCTCCTGGACTCGGCGCTCCTCGGCGTCGTGGCGTCCTACCAAAGTGGCTGCGTCGAGGACCTCTTGCCGTACGCTCGCGACTATGCAGCGGCCTTCGCCCTCGATGCGCCGATAGCGTCGTGCGCGAGCCTCGGCAATCTCGACTACACGTGGGCGCGCACCCTCGTGACGGCGGTCGGCCGCGAGGACGACGGCGCCAGCACGACCACCCGCCTAATGCGGTATTGCCCACACATGTGGACGGTCACAGCCGTAAACCTCGCCGCAGCTCGCGGCTACCTTGATATCTTACAGGCCTTGCACGCTGCAGACCATCTCCAAACAAGTCCCGACGCCCTCAACGAAGCTGCTGCTAATGGACACCTCGACGTCGTCTGCTTTCTCCACGAGCATGGTCAGAGCGGTTGCACAGTGCGGGCAATGAACGGTGCTGCTCGGTCCGGACACCTCGACATCGTTCGATTTCTGGATACGCACCGAAGCGAAGGCTGCACGGTCACGGCAATGAACGCTGCGGCGATCAACGGCCACTTGGACATTGTAGAGTACCTTCACGTGCACCGAGACGAGGGCTGCACGACGAGCGCCATGGACGGCGCGGCCAAGAACGGCCATCTTCCTGTCGTGACGTTCTTGCAGACGCACCGAGACGAGGGCTGCACGACGGACGCGATGGACGGCGCGCTCTTGTACCACCACGTGGACATTGCAATGTATCTGCATTTGCACCGAGAGGAAGGCTGCACGCCCCACGCTTTGTACGCCGCCGCGTACGAAGGCGATTTGGTCAACCTCCGCTTCCTCTGCGAAACGCGGCTCGAGCCATTCCGGCAAGACGTTCTCGACGCAGCCGTGACCCAGGGCCACGTGCCCGCGCTCCACTACTTGCACTCCGTGTGGCGCGTCGACGCCATGACGGCGATGACAAACATAGTCGCGGCCCACGCCCAAGATTGGCGCCGCCGCCTCACGAAAGCATAAATGCAACGTGTTGAGTGATTACTACGACAGCCACTGGGCAGCGTCCTTGTAGTAGTGGAACGACCGGCGGCGACGCTCGCCGAGCGTGCGACTGCGCTTCTTGCGCGCGGCCACGAGACTTCCGCGGAACACCTTTTGGATCATCACGGCGGCCTTGTGCTGCGCAATGTACTGCTGTGTTGCCAACTCGACGACCTTCTCGCCGACCGTGAGGCTCTCGCCCGGTACATTGCGCTGCGTGAGCACAAGGAGGAGATCTCGGAAGCGAATCATGTTGTCTTGGTACCTTGCCGTTGGATAAGCAATTGCAACCTTGATAATTTCACGTACCGAGGACCTCGCGTGAGCTGGCGGCGGTACGTGAGCTCGTCGAGGCGCGCAACGATCCCCATGTATGCATCGTGCGTCTCTCGGTCGACGAGGCGGTCGCCGAGGTGCTGCTCGGGCGACGCCTGCCAGCGCGTCGGCGACTGGAGGCCGAGCGGGCGCCGGAGCAGTTTGAGAAACCGAAGCAGCTTGCGTTTCGAGAGGTAGCCGAGCGCTTGGTGGTCGAAGCGGCTCCACGTGAGGCGGAAGGCTTGGAGGTGGTCCATGTTGAAGCCGATCTTGGTCAGCGACTCGCTCTCGGACACGAGCGCCGCCGTGCTCACGTACGTGTCGAGGACGACGGCGACAAAAAAGTTTTGCAGAATCAAAAACACAAGCACGAAAAACGAGTAGTAGAAGATCGTCGAGAGCCACTTGGAGCCGCAGTCGGACTGGCCCTGCGCGTTGCGGTAGACGCAGTGCGGCTTGGTCACGCTGCACGCGCGGTACGCGTCCGACCTAGCCACACCATCGTTCGAATTTCAATCGAATCTCAATTCATACCAATCTTCGCCGGCCGCAAACTTGATAAAGGCCGTGAGGGCGCGCGGGAAGGTGGAAAAATTGAGGTTGGCATCGAGACCGTCGCCCCACTTTGTGAGCGAGAAGAGCTGCATGCCCAGGTTGGCGTAGATAAACATGACGTAGCTACGTGGAAACGATTCAATGTGCAGTGTGCAGGCGACGAATACCTACCCGAGGAGCAGCGTGAGCTTGACCATGGCGCGCGTGCTCTCGAGCAGTGTCTGGAAGAGCGAGCTCAAGCCGCGAAAGTACGGGAACAGCTCCAGCACGAGCGTGAGGTGGTTAAAGTCAAACGCGCGCGTCACACCGATGACGAGGACGGCCGGCGACGTGCTCGAGACGGGGCCCATGAGCATGCAGATGACGAGAAAGGCGTTGAGCGCCTCCGAGGACATGCCGCGCGTGAGGAACTCGCGCGCGCCTGTTGAGAGGATCGCGAGCGCCGCCTCGGTGCCGTAGAGGCACGTGAAAAAGTAGTGCGCAAACCAAATGTGCGATGCGTGCGGCCCGGACGCGGCGAGGACGACGACGTGCGTGAGGACTGCGATGGACGAGAGCACGCGGAAGAGTCGGTGCTTGACGAACGTGTGGATCACTTGCATCGTGGTCGTCGACGGCTCGGGGAAGCGCGGCTGCAGCGCGAGGATCCGCTTCTTGTTGCGCAGCCAGACGAGCTGCATGTTGCTGAGGAAGATCGTGCCGTTGTGGCACCGAAAGTTGTTGACAATGATGCCCTACGTATATCACCTTAGCATCAATGAGTCAAGCGCGTCGCACGTACGGCAAACACGCGGAGGAGGTAAAAGCGACTGATAAAGACGAACGCGACAAAGAAGAAGGCAAAGTACCCCGACGCGTTCTCGCGCGGCTGGAAGCCTTCGCCGACGATGTCCATGGCGCGGTACATGACGGCGATCCACGCTTTCTTGGAGACGACCGAGAAGAGTGTGCCGAGTGCGCCGCCGAGGTCGTCAAAGTGCATGCCATTCGGATTGCCCCACACGCGGGGCTTGAGCAGGAGCGTCGTTGCATCGAAATAGACGCCGACGCAGTCTTTGGCCGTGAGAATCGCGGCGCTTGCGTCAGAGCAGGCCTTGAACTTGTTGGCGAAAAGCTGCTGACCGACGCACGCGAAGACGAGGAAGAGGAAGCACGTGAGCACGATGCCGTAGCACACTTGCAGCAGCGATGACATGAGCGCGTTGGTGATGACGCGGAACGCCTCGACGCCACGGATGACGCGGACTGGGCCGAAGGCGCGGCCGAGGTGAAAGTAGTCGCTCAGGTCCGAGTGTGGGATGAGCAGAAGGAGGACGCAGGCCATGAGCACGACGATGTTGAGCTGGTTCCACTTGTCGTTGAGGTACGCGTTGGGCGTGAAGAAGAAGCCGTGCCCGACGATCTTGATGACAAACTCAAAGAGGAGCACAAACATGAAGACCCACTCGACGAGCGTCGTGAACTGCGTGATCGTGCCGCTGTACAGTGGGCTCTGCAGCGTGATGAGGGCGCTCCGTATGACGATGCACACAAAAATGGACGCTTCCGTGCGCGAATTGAGCTCTTTGCATTTCCGCCGGACGGCCGAGTCGGGTCCGAAGAGGAAGCAGGACACGTCGTTGTAGAGCCAGTCGCTCGTCGGCGGCTTGGGCGGCGACCGCTGCGGCACGGCACTGTACACGGCGGACGGGCGCAACACCATGCGCTTGGCCTTGGCGACGACGCACGGCACGACGGCGCAGAGCTTGCGCCGCACGAACGACGTGGACGGCGGCGGCGACGGAGACTGCGTCGAGCCCATGTACTGCACATCTGACGGAAATTCCTTGGCAAATTGCCGCAGAAACGACGCTTCGTCGAGGCGCGGGAAGACCGCGAGCGTCCGCGTGAGGCTGTCGCGGAACTGCTTCCCGAGGCGCGTGCGCTTCTCGTCGTCCGTCAAGGCAAACTTGCGCAAGAGGATCACAATCATAAAGTTGAGCGTAATGTAGACCGAAAACACCGTGTAGCTCAAAAAGTACCTAGAATGAAATCGCCTCCAAGCAGATAGAGAGCATCTGGACGTACGTCGTCGTGACGGCGTTCGAGGATGTGTGCAGCGCCGCGTAAAAGATGCCCCACGTCCCGTGCCCGCTCGAGATCTTGAAGAGCGTGAGTGTCGCGTCAGCAAACGTATCAAATTTGCTGCGGGAGCCTGCGCATCAATCAATGTATCAAACGGTCAAGTCGCGGTTGCGTACCGTCGGGGAATTTGCCGCCGTAGAGGTTCATGCCGAGGATCGCAAAAACGATGTTGCCGAGGAGCATGAAGAGCACGAGGTCGAAGAGCGACGGGAGGCTCGAGATGATGGCTGTCACGATCTTGAGCAGCGGGCTGCTCTGCCGAAGAATGCTCAGTGGCCGCAGCAGCCGAAAGATGCGAAAGAGGAACGCGACGCGCTCCTGTGCTGGCGCATAGATGGAGGTTGACTTGAAGAGCAAGTTGAGACCCGCGCCGACGACGATGGCGCCGTCAAACCGGTTCCACGGGTCCTGGAGGTACGGCCAGAGGCCGTGCATGGTCAGAATCTACGTTGACGTTGACCTCTCTTGCCGTATCAAGACGATATGGTACCCTCAGGAGAAACTCGCAGAGAAAGACGAGTGTAAAGCCGTGGTCGACGATCGAGACGCGCTGGTCGTCGTACCACTTGTCCGGACTCTTCTCCATCGCGAGCAGCAACGCGTTGAGCAGGATGAGCACGTTCACAATGTGCTCGAACGCCGCGCTGCGCCCGATCGCGCGGCCGACGCGGACGACGCGGCCGTCGCTCGCGAAGAAGAAGAACACGCGCACGGGCCGTCGGTGCCGCAGCGCGCGCCGGACAGGCGCGGCATTGGCTTCGAGCCGCACCTCGGGGCTCTCTTCGTCGACGCTACTCGTCGCATTCTCGACGTCGCTACTGGACGCGGGGGCGTGGGCTTCGTCGCTGGCCGCGAGGCTCCGGACTTCGTAGTTGCGCGCGTCCAGGAACGTCTGCAGCAGCTGCACGAGGCGCTTGGTCGCGTACTGCGCGAGGTTGGGCACGACGCTCGTGACGGGCGGCATTTGCGGCCGGCGCTTGGCCTTGTACGAGACGAGGCGGCTCGCCTCTGCCTCGCGGGGCTTCTTGAGAAAGCTGTGGCGCACGATCGCAATGAAGAGCGCGGGGATCATGTACGAGACGAACACGATGAGCACGACAAAGTAGACGACGCTAAAGTAGTACTTGGTCTGGATCGTCGCCTCGAAGGACGAGCCGAACCCGGCGCGGGACGAAATCATAAAGACGGTCAGAAACGCCGCTTCGAACGTATGGAAGCCCGTGTAGCCTGCGTTCGGGCTCTGCATCGGCCGGCAGACGTGGCCGCGGAGACAGGTCGCGACGGCGTCGGCCTCGGGGCGGCAGAACATGGTGGGCATGACCTCGACATAGTGGCCGTTGCTCAGGACGGCGCAGCGGTGCGAGAGCGCTTCGTCAAAGAGGTACATGCCCAGGACCGCGAAGAGCACGAGCAAGTACCCGAAGCACACGAGCGCGTTCCCGACCATCGGCAGCGTCTTGAGAAACGCGTCGAAGAATTCCGAGAGCCCTTTGAAGAAGCGCAGCGACCGCAGCGCGCGGAAGCTCCGGAACGCACTGAGGTTCCACGCGCTGTAGAGAGGGAGACACCCGAGCCAGGACGACGCGATGAGGCAAAAATCGACAATGTCCCAGTTGTCGTGCAGCAATGGCCGGACGCCTTCGAGCGCCACGATCTTGATGGCCTGCTCGATCGTAAAGACGGCCGCGAGCAGCACGTCCAAGATGGAGAGCGCCAGCAGCAGTGACGCATTCGTCTCGACGGGGGACTCGAGCGCCAGCGTCGCAATGTTGATGACGATGCACAGTAGAATACCGTGGCCGAACGTCGGGTGCGTGTAGAGGCGCTGGCAAAAGACGACGTGGCCCGTCGGCAGCGGCACGCTCGTCGGGTCCAGCGTCTCGGAGGGCACCATGTACTTGGTCGTAACGTACGCGAGCATGTCGTCCGCGAGCCGGCTCGTCTTGAACTCGAGGTCGAAGCTCTCGATCTCGTCGTTGTTCGTGTGCAGCAGGAGCGAGAGGCAGCGCTCGTCGCTCGCGGGCAACTCACGCGGCTTGATGTACTTTGACGTGCGGAGAAAATTGGTCGTCTGTCGTCCAGGACGCACGCTGCTGATCGAGGCCACGGCGGCGGCGGCCGTCGTCACCTGAAAGTACGGCAGGATCTCGGTCGTCGTCCAGACCAGGTCTGTCTCTCGCAGGTGCAGCATGCCACGCTGCGGCTCGCCGTCGGGCGCGTGGTAGGTCACGGCGAGGCCGGCAGCCAGCACGTGCTCGAAGCAGCGGCAAGCGTCGAGCGGATGGACCGGCGTTGCCATGGCCTTCCTTGGTTTCAACTCAACTGGGCGTCGAAATAGCGGGCCGTTTCACGCAACCGGATACAGAATTAGGCGTCCGGATACAATCCAACCAGTGGATTGCTGAAACCAGGCGGCAACGCTCGCAGGAGAAAGGAAGGGCAGGGCCGTCTCTGGAGGGCCATGCAGAGCTGCGACTCTGTCTAAGGGAAGACTCTGCCTAAGAGAAGACTCTGTCAAAGGGAAGACTCTGCCTAAGAGAAGACTCTGCCTGCCACTAATTCATTCATAGCAGGCTCGCGCATCTGACCTCTGGATTGGCGAGACAGCGAAGCCTACCTTTTCAGTAATATAAGACCTTTCTCTCTGACGTCCGTGCCACTGTGACTACAATGCGTCAACGAGCTGCGCTCTAAAGGTCTACTAAGTCGCTCGAGTTGGATTCCGTGACGTTGATCTATTCCCTTGCGTTGACGCAGAAGTCGAAACCCGGCAACGAACCGATCGCACACAGGCCCGCCGTTTCCTTGTCGTTTTCTGCCCCGTCGACATGGCAGCGAAGGCGCGGAGCTGGGACTGGGCGGCGCAGCGTCTCTGGTCCGAAGACACCAAGTGCAACGTGCGCCTTCTCGACACGGTGCTACTGGACGCGGAGGGCCGGCCGCAGCGGTGGCTCTTCGCCTCCAAGCACGGTCACGTCGCCAAGAAGAAGGACGATCACGTGAGTCTGAGCAGCATCCGAGACCGCTTCGCTCGATTCTCTGCGCACCCCAAGAACGTGCTGCGCCACACAGCGTACGCTTTCTATCGCAGCGGAAAGCGGGAGCTTCTGGACGCGACGCAGTTCAGCAGCCTCCTCGACGCCCTGGACGGCCCGCCCAAGCACCGACCGAGCCTCGCTGGCCTCGTCGCGTACGTTCATAGCAGCAGCGAACACGCGCTGGCCGAGTACCGAGCCAATAACGGCGTCTCGCTATCGAGCTTTGACGGGGCAGGGCGTGCGAGGAAGGAGATGGAGCGTGCGACGCTGGACGTCGTAAGCTTTCTCCAGACGACTGCCCACGTACGTGTCTGCGTCGTCGTCATTTGGAGTCTATTGTCTTGCGACAGGTGTCGATTGCGAAGCTTGGCGCCGAATTTGTGGTGGACGACGACAACGTCGTGTGGCTGTCGCACCTGCCGCAGATGCTCGTGGAAGTGGCGCCCGGGACCCAGTCGTTGCCGAGCTTGGCCAAGACGGACGCTCCTTCGAGCGTCAAGTGCGCAGGCGAATTTTGCCGATACTCGGACGCCGACCTCCCCGGGTACGAGCGCGCATCCATAATCTTTCGGCTTAGCATCGCCAAGGTTGTATGCGACGCCGCCACTGACGCCGCTGCCGCTGGCCGACACGGGTCAGCGCACCAAAATTGGCTACAACAACATCTTACTCGCGCGAGCCGCCATGGGGTATCTGCTCTCGCGCTCGGACGACGCGGCGGGGTGGGATGCTCTCGATGCTGCGCAGCGCGCAGAACTCGGGCAGTCGAATCCGTCGCACTTTTACAAGCAAGTCGGCGTCTGTCCCAACTGCCACACGATTTACGCCCAGCTGCAAGCGCTGCGCCACAACCGTTTTTCCCACGAAATCGACCGTCCGACGTCGTCGACCAAGAAGAAGGTGACGAGAAAACTCAAGTCGAATAGCAGCAACGTGAGCAACAACAGCAGCAATAACCAGCAGCCACAGCCATCCGGTATAATTCCTTTATGAACCACCAAGACAACGAGCGGCGTAGATTCGCTCCTGAAATTCATGGGTGTCGCAAAGCCTAGCGCCGACGCGCACGAAGCCGCGTTCCTTGCAGAGCTCCACCGACAGTCGCAACTCCTCGAGCCGCTCTCGACATCGGCCGCGTCATCGGCACGGTTGCCCGAAGACGACGCAGCCAGCACGACCGAAGCCCCTTCCGTCGTGAAGCGAAAATCCAAGAAAGGACCACCACGCCCCAAGGACAACCAAGTTTTAGCGCAGTTTGAGGCCGAGTGGTCCGCAGTTGAGTCCGCCAACAAGTCGCTCGTGGCCGAGAACGCCCGACTCACGGCACGTTTGGCCGATGTTGAAGCTGCGTGGGTTTGGATTGTTTAGTGTCAAAGTATCAAGTGTTGGTTTCAATAGACGGCAGCAAGAGCAGGTGCAATGGGCGACCGATCGTGCACAGCTGCTCGAGTCGAATGAAGTGCTTGAGAGGCAGACCAAGGCGCTCGGAAAGCGCCTCAGCGCCCTCCAGAAAGAGTTTTCGGACGCCATGGCGGCCAAAGACAACGAGTGGACCCGACGCCTCTTGGAGACAGAGCAACTCTACTCTGCCCGATCGACGCCACCACCGAGCCGGTTCGTCCAGTCAACCACATACGATACGAATCGTGTCGATAGGGAGGTGGCCAGCGGCAACCAACTGAGCCTGATTGAAACCATTGAGCAGCTCTCGGCGCAGCTCGAGGCCGAGCAGCGCGAACGAGAGATGGACCGACAACGACTCGCGGCGACGCACCAAGCAGACGTCCAGCGAGTGCACGACCGCCTCCAACTCGAGACCGAGGCGCTGCGTATTGGTCACCGTCAGCGTACGTCGACCACGGTTCGTAATTCAATGGACATGATCCTCTTAGAGCTGGATACGATTGAAGAGCTCAAGACACAGCTGCTAACGACATCGCACCAGCTGCAAGTCGCGCAGGCGCAGACGAAACAGGCGAAAGCAGCGGCTCTCGACGCGCAAGTGGCAGTGTCCACCCTCGAAGACAAGCTCGTGGCTTTGGAAGCCAAGAGCCTTCCTCCCGCTTTGCTTCCGACGACGGCTGCCGTCGACAGCGCCGCAAACGAGAAGCTTCAGCACAAGATCGAGTACTTGAAAGCGCAGCTGGCGTCTGAAACGCGATGCAAGGAGGAGCTCGGTGCAACGGTCGCGACACTGACCGCCAATCTCGACAGCCTCAAGCGCGACCGCAAGAAGCTCTCATCGGACCTCGACGAAGCGTACACACGGGTGCTATCTGATGGTATCTTGGAGAGCTCTGTGTAGACACCGCAAACAACTCGAGAAGGCGGACGCACGCTACCGAGCTGAAGTCGAGACAGTCCAAGCGGCTAACGCGGCGCTGCAGTCCAAGATGGCGACGCTCCAGGCCAACGTCGCTGATCTCGTCGCCGACCTTGCAGCGTCGCGCAACAAGGAAGAGAGTGCCAAGCTCTCGATGGAGAAGCTCGCAAGCGAGTCGGTGCGCCTGCACGCGCGTATGGCCGAGCTCGAAGCCACGAACGAGGAGCTTCAAGAGGCGGCGAACGGCACGAAATCGTCGCTCGAAGACGCCCAGCGAGCTACGATGGAAGCGACGCTTCGCCGTTTAACGCACGAGCGACAGTACTTGAAGAGCCAAGTACACACGCCCTTCGAACCATCCCAACCTGACACATCTCTAGATGGATGGCGAAATCCGGCGCAAGGACGACGCAGAGGCCAAGGTGCGCGAACTTCAGGCGCAGTTGGCCGACGCTACGACGTCGACAAAAGCCGAGGTAATCGCAGCCAAGCAAGTGGCTAAAGACAAGGAGACGGCGCTATCAACGGCGCTCGCCAAGCTCGAAGAGACGCAGTTGCTTACGCAGGGCGAGCTCTCGAGCACAAAACACCAGCTCCACGACGCCAAGATCGCCCTCATCGGCGCACGCGACGAAAGCCAGCGTGCCCGCGCCGAGCTTGAGACGCAGCGCGCTGACCTCGCGCATCTGAAAACGAGCCTCTTGTCGACACGGGAAGAGCTTCTCAAGGAGCGAGACCGCAGCAAACTCAATGCGGAGCGCCAATCAGCGTCGCTTCAAGCCATCAAGGCGTCTCTCGTCGAGACGGAAGCGTCCAAAGCTGCCGAGATCACGGCGCTGCACAATGAGCGCACGCAGCTGCGCTCCGCCCTCGCGGAGGTCTGCATCTCCATTAAGCGCGACTGAAACTCACGCGAGCGATGTAGGCGCAGAGTACGCGGCTCGCGCTCGCTGCCTCGCTACAAGCCCAGAGCGTGCAGCAAAAACAGCAGGTTGCACTCCTGCGCGTAGCGCTATCCACAGCACACCGCGAGGCGACGCGGGTGTTAATCCGCTGGGAAGGCTGGACGCGTCACGTGGCGTGTCACCGCGTCCAAGAGTCTGGAGCGCAAAAGCTCAAGGAGGCGCTGCAGGCGCGCGAAGTCGTCTGGCATGACCGGCTGTCCGTCGCCTGCGCCGACGTCCACGAAAAGTGCACTCTGGAAAAAGACTTGGCGCTGGCGGCCGTGTCTGAGCGGCTTCTCACGGACGCTGCCGACGCCGCCCGAGCAGCTGCAAGTGCCCATACGCAAGCTCTCGCGTACGTACACTACTGGCGAGTGCTGCAAGCTGATGCGGGCGCAGGGACTGCAAGGTCGCATCGGCGGCCGCGTTGGAGCTAGCCAAGAATGAGCTCACAAGCCTACACGACGCTGAGGTCGAGGCACTGGAAGCCAGCCATGTGCAGGCCATCGAGGCTCTCCAGGAAGCCGCTCGTCAGAGCCAAGCGGAAGCTGATGCAGCCATCGAACGACTCGAGGCTGAGCGGCGGATGCGGGAGACGGAATTGCAGACCGCCGCAAGCGCACAATTGACGGAAGCACTGAGAGAGATGGAGTTGGCTCACAGTAGCGACCTCCGAGAGGTCCAGGCTGCGGCAGCGACGCATCATGAAATGATACAGGCGACGCACGCTGCAGCCTTGAGCGAGGCAAGAACCGCGGCAGAGGCACTCCTCGATGCCGAGCAAGGTCGATGGCAGTCGATAACTGCCATGACTGGCGCGGACATCGAAGCGCGCTGGCTTGCCAAGGCCCAACGTGCACTAGCGATGACCCAAGAATCACTCGTGCACGACCAAGCCAAAGCCACGCAAGCGCTGATCTCGCAACACGACGCAGCCGTCGCCGATACGGTCGCTCACTGGACGCAACTCTTGACATCTGCGCGGACAGAGCACGCGGCGGCCATCGCAGAGCTTCGCGCCGCTGCCGACACCAAGGTGAGCAGCGACGATGACGTGGAATGTGGCGTCACGTTTTCTAGCTCGCGGCCGAGCTCGAGACTTGTCGACGCGAGATGGTCGAGCAGAAAGGCAACGCTGTCATGACGACAGCTGCCAAGTGGCAGCGTGCCCTCGCAGGTACTATGGGCTTTTATAGTAGGTACTTGAAATCGCCGTCAGACACCACCGCCCGCATCGACACGGAAAAGAAGGTGGCCTATGACAAGGGCGTGTCGGACCGCGAGGCTGAGTGGCAGCGCGCTGCTGCTCTCATCAAGCAAGCGCAAAAAGACGAGGTTCCTTGCAAAATGCGAGATGAGGGCTCACTGCTGTCTATGGTTAGGTTGACGCACTAGAGCGCGACTCCAGGCAGGCACTTGCCGCATGCGAAGAGCGGTTCGGCTTGCTCTTGGCTGCCAAAACCCAGGAGCTACAAGCTGCATGCGCTGCCACCGTGGACGCAGCGGCTGCGACTGCCAAAGTGGAGCGAGAGCGTGCGATCGCTGCAACGCGGGACGCGGTCGTCGAGGCAACCGAAGCCCGCGTCATTGCTGAATGGACCAATCGCATGAATGCGGCCGCCGTCGCGAGTGACCAGCAGCTGCGCGACGCCTGTGCCGAGGTACCAACAGTCCGTTCAAGTGAGAAAGGACTTATGTGGTGTAGATCCAAACTACGATGCAGAACGAGGCCGAAGCGCAGCTTGCAGCTGCCAAGGCACGGTGGAGTCAGCTGAAAACGGACGAAATCGCAACGCTACGGGCTGCGTTACGCAGCGACCACTACCAACAGCTCCAAGACGAACTTGGAAAGGTTCGACGTGCGCACGAGACGCAGCTGGCACAATTGCAGTCAGACCAGAGCGCCGCATTGGCCTCCGTAGGGCTGCATGTGTTGGTTGTGTGTTCATTTGTCAAGATAGACTACCGCGCAGCTGCGAGCTGACGCAGATGCGGAGCTCCAGACGCGGCTTCGAGCATGTCAGGAGACTGCTAACCAACAACACGAAGCAGAGATGTCGCTCGTCCAAGAAGAGAGCGAGAAGCTCATCGACAAGGTCGAGATCGCCATGCAGCAACTCAAAAAGCAGAAAGAGGTATCGATCGACGCCTTACTCTCCTCTCGTCGCTTTAATATGAATACCGCAGACGACGGAGACGGAGCTACAGCGAGTGACGCACGCCCTCGAGGAAGCTGAAGACGCGGCTTTCGATCTACAAGAAGAGATGAGTTCGCTCAAGAAGAAATACGTCATGCGGCACCTCCTCCTCCTGCGCTCCGGGCTGCAAAAGATGCAAATCATGGAAGACGAGCTCGACACAGTAGACAATCCGTCGTGGTTTGCGGGCGAATAACCCACCTGGGATGTGTAGAAAGATATGGAGAAGACGGCTGCTGATCGGGCGTGGCAAGCCAAGTTGGAAGCTACGACCAGTGACTTGTCGAGCCAGCTCGCACAATCCAAGACCACGATCGACAAGCTTCACGAGGTACATGGCAGCAGCCGCTACGACTGACAACGGAGACCACTAGGTCTACACTACGGTGTACGAGACCTTGGTCAACTACCGCCGCGACGAGCTTGTGCAGCACCGAAGCGCTAGCAATGTCGTCACGAGTGAACTTGACGTTCTGCACGCCCAGATCGACCAAGTGCTCCACAGCAAAAACGAGAGCGATCGCGAGATCGAGAAGGCCCAAGCAGATCTCGGCACCCTCGAGGACGAGCTCAGTGGCATCCAACTTATGAAGGACGGTCACGTCAACCAAGCCCAAGTCGCCAGGAAACGGCGGCTGCATCAAGAGACGGAAGCGCTGTTGGAAGCCATCGACTCGAAGAAAGCCAAGGTAAAAAATCTCACGTGTCTCCGAATGGGGTACTCGACGAAATTGGATCTAGGCGCGCAGTGTCGAAGTCAAGCTCAACGAGCTCTATGGGCTCCAGCGCGCCAAGGAGGATGAGATGAAGGGCCTCGAGCGCCACCTCGTCACGATTCTCGTCGAGCAGCAGAAGCATCTTCTCACTCTCGTCTCGTCCGTCAAGAGCATTGCCGCCGTATAATTAGTGTCATATTATCCACAATAGAAACCAGCGTCTGATCGTGTCGACTCATATTTGGATCGTTGTGGCTCTAGAACACTGAAGATTTTTCCCGCCATAATTGAGCAATCGTGCTTGAAGAAATGGAGACAGCCAAAAACTTGTGCGTTCACCGTGCTGCCGCGAACGTTGCTGTGTCAAACGTGCATGATACACGTACTAAGTTGTTCTGCGCAGTATTCTAGCTCACAATGGTGTCGAGCTACCGCAATGACTCTATGCTGCGGTAGTTGGCGGCGCCCAGTCGTAGCAAGAAGACTCCAAGGTACCCACGGCTTTCGTCCATCTGTCGACTAGAAGTTAAGTCGAAGGTTTGCCTTTGTTCTGGGAAACGGTCGAAAAAGGCGCGGGCCAGAGTTCACTTGCAAATAAATGGCCGACGAGACGGCGCTGACGCTGCTCATTGTCGTGAGCATCCTTGGCGGTCTCACGCTGCTCGTGTCCTGCTACGTACGCTGGATTCTCATCACCACAAGCAAGCGCGTCGACGTCGTTCACAGCAAAGTGTACTTGAACCTCCCAACAGCCAACCACCCGACCATTTACGACCACATCTCGACGCTCGAGCTCCGGCGTCCGGACAACTACTGCATCACGGTTGCGGCCTAAGGCACCGATAGACTACATCAAATATTTACAGCATCCATCGGCTCTTCGTCGTCCCTCGCTTGCGCTAATTGCTCAAGTGGCCCGACTGCATGTCGTCGGAGCTTTCACGCGTTCTTTAGGTTCAACACAATGTGAAGTGTTTAATTAACGGGTCGAGTCGTGTCAACAGGACTATTGGAGTTGAATAATGAAGTAGTCGTGTGCAAAGTCAACGCGCGGGTATCATTATTGGCGCAGGGACGCGACAAAGTCGTTGGAGAGCTTGAAGTAGTCGTCGCCGGCAGCCTCGGGCGAGATGGGGAGGCGCTGTGGGCTCTTTTGCCCACTGCTTTGGCTCTCGCGCTTGCTTGGGCGCGGCGACTTGGCTTGGATATCAAGCGTGTTGAGTTCCAGCTGCCGCATCGTTGAGAGCTGGAGCTGCTTCTTCTTTTGGTCGTCGGTGAACATGTCCGAGTTTACAATGCGCTCGAAAAGACTCCCCTTGCACGTCGTTGCGACGTCGTAGAGCTCCTTGAATTCGGGGTGAACCTTGACAAGTTCCTGCGCCGCCGGAGTCGAGAGCTTGCGGAAGATGTCGGGCGTCATTGGCAGCGACAGCTGTCCTGGGGCTTTGGTTTGCTTCGTTGGCGAGCTGATGCTGGCGTTGCGCGCAGGGCCTTTGGGCTTGAGGACAGTCTCGAACCGAAGGCGCTGAAAGTCGCTTTGCTTCTCGAATGCGTTGATGATCTGCTGCGCGTCAGTAGACGTGCGCAGGAGTAGCTCCCGGAGTAGCTACATACAACGTGTGAGCTCGTGTTGCCAGTCGAATAAAAGGTGTATACTTGGTTCTCGGTGAGTAGCGCTTGGCAGCCTTTGCAGCCCGGGTGGTCACAGTCTTCTTCCTCGGCGGGCGTGGTGTCAATACTCAAGGATTCACGGGGCGAGTGCAAGAAGGCTTCGACGTCAACGCCTGGAATCTGTTGATATTGCTAAATAAGTCGGGAGGTTGGTGCTTTGCGCTACCTTCTTTGTAATGATGGACGCGCTCTTGGGCGTCGTGGGCTGGGCTCGTGCGAGCATCGTCGGTGGTCGGTGGCGAAACAAACTATACATACACCTCTTCGATGTAGCGCCAAATCGACTTGACGTTTCAACGGGAGAAACCGACCCAACGCCACGGAGCGCCACGTTGGCTGCCGGTGGCGAAAGGCGTCGATCCCATATTGAACGAGTGTTCCATGGAAGGCTTCGAGCCGTTAACGACTTGCTGCTGCGAGTAGGCTCCAGGTATGATACCACCCATGTTTTCTGCTCATTCTACGAAGATTTGCCGTCGAGGCAAGGCGTGCAAGACGACCGTTCAGCCTTCGCCCAGTTTACAGTGTTGAAATCGGACTCAAAGCGCTACCATACATTATGCCCTAAGACCTGCCGAGTTGTGTGCTAACGTTAACGTTACTGTTGAGGATCGTCGAGGCCGCTTACCGCTTAACGCGATCAGACAAAGTGTCCGTTTACCTTGCTGCACGGATACAGAACACTGTAGAATGCTTCCAACTGCAAGGCGTGCATCCGGCGTCGCATCCGAACACTTGTCCATGCGACGGAACGTGAACCTCGGTGCTGGAGCTACCTAGATACTGGTAGTACGAAATGCACTCGTTGACGGTCGGTACCGAGCTCACCTCGCGTCGCATGGCCTCTGCTATCCTCACGCGTCGACTTTGTTTCGCGCGCTTCGGGCCAATGATCGCTGGTTTTGATCGGCCGTGTTCCTTGCTCCAGGAGCGACTTCAACATCATCCGGTGTACTGCAATTGATTTGCTCATCGCTGTACATGAATGTAGAGCTGCAATGGCGATGCCTTCTACACATACCCGATCGGAGCTCACCGAGTGAACCAGTCCACGGCCAGAACGACGCCGACTTCGGCCAAGCACGCGGTGCCACCGAGGCGACTTCAACGTCGCGTCGCGGCAGAAGGCGTCGTGTCAACACCCGGCGCACTTTACCGAGTGTTTCCGGTGCTTGCGTATTTTATTGCAACGCAATCGAGCACGAGCATACAAAGACCAAGCTACATCGCGGGGATCTGGCGTGCTCTATTACGTCATCGCGATGTGGCACGATCGTCTTCTTAAAGTGTGGTTCTGATCAATGCGTACAATGTATGGGGTCCGAAACGCACTTAATCGGGCGCGCACTTGAGCGACTGTCGCAGATCTTGCGATTCTTGTGGCATCCGTCGCGCCGGCGGAGGAGGTGGTCATAGCTGGTTTCGCCGCCTTGGAGAGAGGATGCTTCGGTCAATTGCTCGTGCGCGCCGGGCGTTCTCGACGTCGTACCTGGAGCGACCAACGAGCTACCCGGTCGAGAAGATCAAGGTCGTGCTCCTCGAAAACATCCACCCGCGCGCGATCGAGATCTTTGAGAACGAGGGCTACAGCATCGAGACGTACAAGGGCGCGCTGGGCGGCCAAGAGCTCATCGACATTGCCGCCAACGCCAACATCCTCGGCATCCGCTCCAAGACGCAGCTCGACCGCGCCTTCTTCGACTCGATCGGGTGGCACGAGCACCGCCTCTGGACGATCGGCTGCTTCTGCATCGGCACCAACCAGGTCGACCTCGCGGGCGCTGCGCAGTACGGCGTCCCCGTCTTCAACGCGCCCTTCTCCAACACACGCTCTGTCGCGGAGAAGACGATCGGCGAGGTGCTCTGCCTTCACCGCAAGCTCTTTGAACGCTCGACCGACATGCACGCCGGCATCTGGAAAAAGTCGGCGACCGGCGCCCACGAGGTGCGTGGCACGACGCTTGGCATCGTTGGCTACGGCCGCATCGGGTCCCAAGTCTCGGTCCTGGCAGAGCTCCTCGGCATGAAGGTCGTCTTCTACGATCCGCTCAAGTGCCTCCCGCTCGGCAACGCAACACAGCTCGACTCGCTCCAAGACGTGCTCGCGGCCGCCGACTGCGTCACGCTCCACGTGCCGGCGACGAGCTCGACCAAGAACATGATCAACGAAGAGACGCTGCGCTGCATGAAGGACGGTGCGCTCCTCATTAACAACGCCCGTGGTGCTGTCATGGACCTCGACGCAGTCGCGGCCGCGCTCAAGTCGGGCAAGCTCGGCGGCGCGGCCGTCGATGTGTTTCCGTGGGAACCGGCCAAGAATGGCGAGCCCTTCTCGACGCCGCTCCAGGGCATTCCGAACGTGATTTTGACGCCGCACATTGGCGGCAGCACGGAAGAGGCCCAGGGCAACATCGCGGTCGAGGTCGCGACCAAGCTCGTGCGCTTCATCAACGAAGGCTCGAGCATCACGGCGACCAACATCCCGGAGGTCGACCTCGGCCTCACGTCGGCGGGCAACATTCGGATCCTCCACATGCACCACAACGTGCCCGGCGTCCTCAGCAAGATCCACGCCGTCCTCTCCGACTACGGCATCAACGTGAGCGCGCAGTTCCTCCAGTCGAACGCCCGCCACTCGTACATTATCCTCGAGGTCGAACCCTTCCACGCCAAGCTCGTGACGCGCGAGCTCAAGAAGATCAAGGAAACCATCTTCCTCCGTACGCTGCTATAAACGCCGTCAATACCAATATGTACTACCGCCACACACGCCTTCCATTATCGTTTGTTGCGACTGCTTTCAACGATGGTACACGGTGCGAGAGTGGTTGCAGTCACGACGCAGAAACAGACGGCGCCGAAACACGTGCTGCTGCAGACGGCAAGAACCTCCCTTTGAGCGCGATACCATCTCGTGTTTGCTCGGCAAAGTTGCCGTCGTTTGCTTCACTTCAACATGGAATTCTCAAAACCGAGGTATAAATTAAGACGACTACATCGAACGACACGAAGAAGCGCTGTCTAGACGGCGACAGCGGTCGGTAAAAAGTACAAGTTTTTGCGGTCCGACTGCCACCCGCGGAGGTTCATTCGGCGGCCGCTCGCAGCGCGGTGGAGCTGACCGACAACGTTGGCGTCGAGACCCAAGAAGGCTTCAATGGCGTCGAGCACTTTGCATTTGGCGAGCTGCCAGTTGGGGAGGTCCGCCGAGCTCGCGTCCGCGCTGGCGGCCTCGAACTCGGTCTTGAAGTGCTGCAGCTTGGCCAAGAGCGACGTGAGGAACTCGGAGAGGTCGCGTTTGCGGTCGTCGAGTACCTTGGGCGAGTGGCTGAAGAAGAGCGTCTTCTTGGGAAAGTCCACCGACCGCAGAAGCGCGTGCAGCGTCCAGAAAGGGCACGAGCCCATGACGCAGTCGCACGCAGCGTCGTCGGCGGCGTCAGTGCTCGCCAGCAACGACTTGTAGAGGCGCCGCCACTCCGAGTAGGTGCGCGCAACGAGGTGCGCCGACGCCCGCGGCAGCTGGATCGAGATGACGTACTCGGGCGACTTGACCTTGTCGTCGTCGACGCGCACGATCTCGGCCGTGATCTCGCAGAGGACGCTCGAGTCGGCGCGGTTGAGCCGCATGCAGCTTAGGACGGACGAGGCTCGGGACGCGCGCTGGTTCATGCTTGACGTCGGGTTGAAGCGGCAAGTTGGCAACTGCTGCGGATCGACGCCATTCTTTTGGCTACCGACGCTGTGACTAATGCGATTCCCGTGAAGCAGACGGCTAGCAACATGTGGCGATGGAATTCGCAGAGATGAGTACTCTTTGCTGTGTATCGACGCCGCCATTGGACGATGCAAGGTGCGGGTGGGTGCGGGCGTCAAGTGCATGTGTGCGTCGCTGACGTGCGTATGTGGCACGTTATCGCCGCACGCTGAAGCGTCCTGTCCGTGCACCATGCCAGCACGCGGCGTCATGCAGCTCGAGGCTCTACAGAACCTTTGTTCCGTGGTGACACCACGAGCCTCCGCACGGCAATTGCGTCGCACCCAAGACGACGCATGGTTCGACGCATCCCACGGCCGCGAATCTAATCCCGGCTTCTGATTCCAAACGCACGCTCCCCTTCCGCGAGCGATCAAATTTGCGCCTATGCGGGCGCAAAGAGGCGGCAACGGACGGCAAGATGGGGACGCCGAGTATCTTTCGATTACAGCACCGAGATGGTTGTAACAGTCGAGCTCATGGTTGTCCTCGAGCGCGATCGACGCGGCTTCCTGTTTTTACGTCCGTGCGTTGTGGAGCTGCGTAGATGAGTAGCCATCGCGTCGAACTATCCAGGTACGTCCACCAGTCGCCACGACTCTTCTTTGACCATAATTTCGAGTCGATGCACCAACTGCTCATAGTGTTGGAAACAATAATCTCGCCAGTACGGCCTGCTCATACAAACGTAATACTAGTATTAAATGTTTGCCTTGGAAATCACAGCACATATGACTCGCAGTATGACTCGCTTAGTCTGTCGTCACCTACAGAATTGCTCAAGATTTTTGTTTCCGCGGAGCACGAGGGTCGAAAGTCGGCTCACGAAATGTGCGAAGACAGACGGGACGCCAACGACGACCACCGCATGGGCTGCCCACCTGCTTGACAGAGTAAGGTAGAGGTTGCCGTCGGGTTGATCCGTGCGTGTTTTAGCGCCGCGTCCTGTCCAGTGTGCAGACGCTTCTACACGAAGCTGCCGCGCACATACACGAACCTGGGTTCTTGACGCACCTTGGTCGTTTGCATGTCGTGCCAAGAGATTCAGCGAGATGCATTGCAGTCATCTGCGATTGCGACTGGTATCGACATCCGACGACAAGCTTGAGAAGAAGCCTCCGAGGCAATTGTCTCCGAGTTGACGTGGTAAACCTGCCGCGACACCACGGTGGAGGCCACTGTTGGTCTCCAAGTAGCTCAGTGGTGGCAACACCGTGCTGCGTCCACAGACTAAAAGAAAGGGACGAGGCGTGAAAGAAGCGCAGAGCAATCGACCGTTCCCCGACCACCTGCCACGATCGACGAGCACCTCGATTGAAGCCGATTGTACGACTGTTGCTATTACGGTGAGGCGACTCGGAGACGGCCGCGGCCGTTCACGAACAAGACAGATTATTGCACTGGTGGGCTTTGTGAACAACGACGGAAGAGAAGCCAGACATGGTGACGGGAAGTTGCCATGGTGACGCCGTCGTGGGATCTGGCGTTATAAGGCATTGGGGGCTTGCGAGTGAGGGGCTTCAACACATTGACGTGTGGGCTAAAATACGAACCGAGCTGTATACGTTGGCTGCGCTGCTGCCGATGAGAGCTCATTCTCTAGGGCCGTGCATTATTATGGCCTGCCTCGACAGGTCAGCACTTCCAGCCACAATCTTTACTCTGCCCATTTCACCCACAGCGCCAGCCTCACAACATTCCCAGCCTCACAACATTCCCCAATACTTCGCCGCTCTTGTGTGTCGTGCCTAGCTAGTCGGTGATATAGGAATGTGACGATCAACGGCGCGTAGGAACCTCTCGTGCAACAGCATTGAGCTATCAACTTCAGCTCGACGCGGCAGATCGCCAAGTTTGCCGCCTCGGATTCGCCTGTACGTTGACAGAAGCGTTCACGCCCAGAAGGACTTGCAACGACGTTGCCAAAGCCGTGTGCACACCAAGTAAAATCATACACAACGTTAACCAATGGTTGCGGCGTACTGGAGTAGCAACGCCGAAACTTGGTTTCTAACATTGCGTACACACCCTCTCAATGAAGCCTCGTCCTGTGGTGCTGCGTAGATACATGCATCACCGCTCTTATCAATCTTGTCGCGGGGCCCGTCGCTCGTTGGCAGCGTCGCAAGCAAGAACCCCGTCCATCGCCGCCTGCGAGTACATCCTCGTTTCGCCCAGCCCAAAGCCTGTGTGGGCACGATGTCGTCGACAGACGCGCCACAAGATTTGCCAGCGTGCCTTCCAAACCACCAATGAAGATCGTTGTCCTGCGGCATCGGCAGCTCGATCTTGTCGTGCCAGGGTCGACACCCATCGCGTCAGGTGCGCACAGCGACGTGAGGCTCGTCATGTACACCGCAACCCGTGGCCGTCAAGCGTGTCAAAGACATGTTGGAGACAAGCCGCGCCAAGTTTGCCGCAGAAAGTGCCCGCATACGCTTACCGAATGTCTTGCCACGCTGGTACTATCTCCACACGCTTGGTCATCCACCGCAACTTCAAGTCCCCAACGTCCTTCTGCACTCGAGGTGCAAGCGCACCGACTTTGGCGAGTCCCGCGAGATGGCATGTTCCAGTGGATGGCCATTACGGATGATGACTACGCGACCACGACCGACGTCTACTCGTTCGGCACACCGTACTTAGTGTTGCGTGTCCTACGCGAGGGCTAGGGGTCTTGCTTTCCGAGTATACTCGACGCAGTGCGTGCAGACAAGATCAATTCACGCTCCAACAAGCCCGCAAACCAGCAGTTCATCAGGATCTTTTGGAGCAGTTCACGTCGACGTTCGAGACGCCGCAGCGGGTTCTCGACCTCCATTCTGCTGTAGATCGAATCTTTCACGGATTGCGTCGATACTGCGTCCTACGGCGACGTGGACTTGGCTGTTTGTGGAAGCGAGTCTAGCAGTGGCCGAAGCAGCACGTAGAGTTCCAAGGCCGTCGGCCGCGCGTCGGGGTCCAGCGCCATGCAGCGCAGACCGATCTCTTGCACCCACGACGGCGACGTTGCGTCAAATGCCGGCGTCATCTCACCCGCAAGCACCTTGGTCATGACAAACTGCGGGGTCGCCGAGCGGCCCGTCGCCGAGTTGGTCAAGCCCAGGTACGGGATGGCGTGCGTACTCAGCTCGGAGAGCACAACACCTACACGCCCTGAGTACCTGCAAGATTGACACGGCGCGCACCAAACGAGTAGATGTCGGCGGCTTCCGAGTACGACGTGCCCGAGATGATTTCCGGGGCCATCCACTGGTACGTGCCAATCCCGTTCGTCATGAGATCGTCCACCTCGCGCGAGATGCCAAAGTCGGTGAGCTTTGTGCCTTTGACCGAGTCGAGGAGGATGTTGCGCGACTTGAGGTCTCGGTGGACAATCGGTGGGTCGAACGTGTGCAGGAAGATGAGGCCGAAAACGATGCTCCGGACGACCGGCGCCTTCTCGCTCCATGTAAACTGCGTCATCGAGTGGTCGGCGAGGAAGCAGCGGAGGTCGCCGAGGTCCATAAACTCAACGACGCACTCAATGTCGACGGGCCGGACCCAGCTCGCGCCCACGAGCCGCACAATGTACGGGCTGTCCATCCTATATTGCCAACGTGAGCTAGGACGAGCAAGGGCATGTTTATACTTGGCCATGAGCGTAATCTCGGCGATGAAACTCTGCAGACCCTTCTCGAGCTTGTCCTTGTTGCGCTTGATGGCTACAACCTCGTTGGCGTACGTGCCCTTCCAGACCTCGCCAAATGCACCCGCCGCGAGGGGCTTGTCACCGAGGACGACGAGCTCCGATCGGTCAAGCTTGAACATTTGGAGGTTGCTCAAGTCGATGGTACTTGTTGTCGACTCTTGGATGCTGAGCGAGTGTTGCTGACGCCGATAGAGCACAAGCACGATCGCACTCAGCACGACAACGCCACTGGCCACAAGGACTGCAATGAGGAGCCCACTGCTGCCTACGGATCCAAGCTGCTAGTCCAAGTCTCTCGATCGTAAATATACCGCCAGACGCAGCACCATCTGTCGGCACGAAGGTCGTCGGTGGTGGGCTCGTGACCGTCGGCACAACGCACGCCGTGGCATTCTCCACGACGCCTTGCCAAATCGGAAGGATCCGGCCCGTGCACGTGCTCGCGTTCGCCGACGCCCAGCCAACGTTGACGCCAGTATTGGACGTATAGTTGTTGGGGCCCAAAGCATTGAGAACGCGATAGGTGTCCTCGTCCAGCGTGAGGTTTGTGATGTGGCTTCCGCTGCACGAGCTACGAGTTGTTCAAGTCGGCCTTTCTCGCACAAGTGGCTTACAAGTAAGTCAAGTTGGTCGAAAGCCAGACGTGCGCAAACGTTTGAATGCCACTGAGGTACCTACGTCAGTCATTAACTCGAGTCGTGGGCTGCCAACTAGGATACAGGTAGCGAAGGGAGCGCCAGTCTTGATTCACCACGACACTAATGTTGTTGAAAGCCAAGTCACTACAAGAGATATGTGAGAGAGATATGCTACGCGACAACCACGGTCGTCATACAGGTACTTGACGCTGCGAGGGATGTTGGCAGGTACGTCGGTCAAGTGGTTTTCGTTGAGATTCCTTCGCGACCATTATTGGAATCGCATCGAACACATCACCGTACAGTGTCTCGAGCGACTGCGGCCACTGGAACCCGGGTGTCGTGATCTTGGAGACGTAGCAAGTAAACATGGTCCTAGCATTGCTCAGCAACATGTTGATGGACCAATGTACCAGTTCTTCAAGCCCGCGGGCAGTTGGAGGCTTCCGAGTGAGTACAGCGTCAAGTGGTCCATTGTCCTACGCACCAACGTCACAGTGTGCGGTGATGGCGATCGACGCACAGGTTCTGGAGCGTCGGCGGGAACTCGACGCGGTCAAAGGCGTTGCCATAGCGGAGGTTATAGAGCTTGCTACCAAGACTGTGGGCACAAGCAGGCGAGGCGCGTCGACGTACAGCGTCGGGTGCGGGTACTTGGAGAGGTCGCCGATGCTCAAATTGGACGCGCCCAACGGGTCGCTGAACGTTGTCGTTGCGTTGGGAAAGGACTGGATCGGCTTGCACTGGGCGTCCAGCAGGCACGCGACCGAGGCGGGGCACGAGCCGTCGGCGACGAGCGTGCTGATGCCCGGTCTCGTGTACATCGTGTCGCACTTGGACGCAGCGGCGAGGCTCAGCCACAGGAGCAGCAGCAGCCCGCGGAGCATGGCTTGCAGCGGATTGTATTGTGGGACCAGCTGCCAATCAGAACCGATTGCCACATGCGAATCAGCCCATCAAATTCATTGATGCTGGTCAAGGGTCCTTTATTGACTTTTGCTCCGGTCTACCAAGCTATAGGCATAGCTTCGCTGAGGCAACATGCCAGAATCGCCGACTGAAAACGTTTTGACGTTGATCATCAGGGACTATTGTAGGCCGCATCAACCAAGGCCTTGGTAGAATCAACTTGAGAGCATGAGGTGACAGTATATATACGTGCAGCCAAATAATGCATTCCACAAATTATAGATGTTCAAAGGAAACTGTTTTGATTGGTCAAAAACGGATCCAATTCCAGCATGTGGCCAATCATTTCCAAACGCTGTGCTTATCTATCGCCGCCACCTCCTTCCTGCACCTCATTGCAGCTTCATCACTTGACCCTTCAACACTCATTACAATCACATCGTATTGTCTTTGGATTGGATTCGAGCAGCAGCCCAAAACACTCCGCGAAAGGGCTGTACTTGCCAAGTACGGGTCTTTCGCAGAGTGTTTAGCAGTCTGCTGCCAGTTGTTCGATACTTGCAGAATCTTGCTGCTCGGTATCATGGATGGAGCTACCAGACAAACATTCAGATTCCCGTGACCAAAATCGAATTGCGTGTGGGCCGTTGCTGTCGCCAACGACTTGCAATGCGAAGAAAGTGGAGCTAAAAACAGTTCTGCTCTAAAACGACGATCGATCATGTCCTTGGCCGACTTTGAGGACATTCGGGCGCTCGGAAGCGGTGTCTACGGCGACGTGCGACCCTGCACGTCGTGGCCACGCCTCATGTTTTGTCTGGATAGATCTATCTCTGCAACACACGCGCCACCAACGACGTCGTGTGTGTCAAGCGCATCGCGCTCCGCGACCTCTCGCCCCCGCAGCGGTATCGCATCGAGAAGGAGGTTTCTATGGTGTTATGCCAGCATAGCGACGTGTGCTGGAACGAAGTGAGCGTCGCCGCGTCGCTTCAGCACCCGAACATCGTCCGCCACCACGGTGCGTTTGTGGACGCCGAGACGCTGGCGATCGTCATGGAGTTTTGCGACGGCGGGGACCTCGCCGAGTGGCTCTACGCGCACCGCGCCGATGCGTCCGAGGACGCGCTCCTCCTGCTGTTCGTCCAGGTAAGCAATTTAGTTATGCGAGTGTCGAAAACACTCTCTGCGTGTAGATGGCACTCGCAGTCCAGCACATGCACGCTGCGAACGTCCTGCATCGGGATCTCAAACCCAAAAACATTTTTGTGTTTGAAACCGGGCGTCTCGTCGTCGGTGACTTTGGGATCGCGAAATGCCTCGAGTCGTCGTCGAGCCTCGCAGAGACGCTGATTGGGTCCCCGGCGTACATGGCCCCCGAGATTTTCGAGGGCAAGGTACTATTGACTCCAAAGCCCGTTTGATTCGCGCGTCACCGTCCAACGGTATAGCCGTATGGGCTCAAGGCCGATGTGTGGGCGCTCGGGTGCATTCTCTACGAGCTCATGGCCGGTCGCTGCCCGTTCCGAGCGAGCTCATACCCGGCGCTCGTGCACAAGATATCGGCCGGCGACTACGACGCCTTGGCGGCCACGATGTGCCGACTGCCGGTACAACGACCGCGACTTGGCTGGGACGGATAACATTCGCTGGGTAGACGCGGCACTTGATCGCCGCCATGCTCGCTCACGAGTACTACCTACTCGTTCTGCCTCCTTCAGTTGCGATGACCATGTTTAGTCCCAACGACCGCCCGAGCGTCGAGTCCATTCTGACATTGCCCTTTCTGCAGCCAAGCCTCGACGAGTACCTCGCACTCGCTCCGTACGACACCACATCCCAATGTCCCGTTTGAAATGTTGGCGCGTGGGTAGCGGCTACTTGGTCAAGCACCCGCCCACGTGGCTGGACATCCTTGCGCTTCAGCGGTCCACGCTCGTCCCACCGCCGATTGCAGCGCTCGGTCTCGCTGTCGACCGCCCCGTATCTCAACGTACATTGAGCATGTTTCGAAAGCCGCGTTGGACGTAGGAGACGATCGCGGGCGATCTCAAGCAGTTCGTCAAGGCGCAACACCTCGGACAACACTCGCTCAGCGTCGACGCCCGAGCCATTGTACAGGTCCGTAGGAAGCGCCGGGTCACCGCCTTCCACTCACATCGGCCATCGCAGCTTCGGGCGAGACAAACCGCCCAGCGCCAGTGCAGCAAATCCAAACGAGGCCAAAAGTCCCCGCTGCCACTGCCTCTCTGCGACATCCACGTACGTACAGTCCTCCGAGGCGGTCTTCAAGGCTTCAACTCGGATTGCGTTAGCTCGTGGACGCGCAAAAGCAAGCGTGTCACTCTCGAGGCCGCCGACCCGCAAACCGAAGGCGCGGTCGCCACGCAAGCCATCGACGCTGCCTCCGCCACCCCCGATCGGCGTCAGGTCGGTGTACCCGTCGCCTCTCTCGCCGCGGAACAGCAACCGTACGTACCCACGTCTTGTTCGCGAAATGATGCTGTGACACCGACACTTGATGCTGTGACCATGTCCGTAGAGCGAAGCCCGGTGAAGCCGCCGCCGAGCTTCCTCGTGATTGGTACGCAGCTCACGCCGCCCAAGGAGGCGCAGCTCAGCGCGCCTGGTCGCGTCGCCGCCTAATAGAAATGACCGACTGTTTCAAAGGCAACCAACTGATTCAATACGTGCTTTTGCTGCAGCGAGAGTTCAGAGCACACACCCAGTCCCGAGATGCGTTCGAGTATCTTGCCGTGGGCTTGAAGCCACCACTGCGACGAGTCTGTACCATCCACAAAGTTTGCGTGCCTTTGGCACGGTGATCGCATAATATCGGTGCTGTTGGCAGCGACGAGCTGCGTCGGGTAATTGAGCTGCAACTTCCTGCTGTCCAGAAGCGTACACGTTGCGACGGAGGAGTGGTGCGCGACGGCCACTGCTGCGAAGGACAAAGTTGGCTCAGGTTTGGAGCACATGGTCGGTTGTCTCTGATTTTGCTGGAGAACGGGTGAAGACCGTAAGAACTCTCTACCTCGGTTCGATACATTCTTCAAGTCACGCGCAGTGGGATCTCGATTACTTTGCCCTCGCCAATCATTCTGGGTTGCAGCTGGCATAAAAGGGCAGTTCCGGGTGCTCATTTTTTCCCGCCGAATGCGACCTGGCCGTTGCAGGGTTTTTACACGCGCAGGTTATCACCAGACCACGGTGCTTCTCGCAGTAGCCTCGCCGTGTACAATGGAAGCTTGATTACCTGTCGTCAACCATCTCTGACTCGCATGGACCAAGCCCACGCACGGAGTGATCGCTGGTGGCATTACACTGGCCTTACCGTGAGATCCGAGGATCAAGTCCACTGAAACCCAGGTCGACGTACAAAAACAGTGTTCTGAAAACGGCAAACTGGCCTGTCTCGTACATCGTACCGTACAGGCCGTCCAACTCACATACAAAGTCCAAGCTAAAATCACCAGCTATGCAGCGGACGACCGTACGTGCTGGAATCAGGCAATGTACGGGTGACCAGCGTATGGCCGCGAAAGCTGCTGTCGCGCGCTCATTATCCGATTTCGACCCGATTGGATTGATCCAGATGAGTGTTCCGTCGCCCGTGGCCTACACCGCTGCCGCAACGTAACAACGTCCTGCACTCAAACTGCGGCGCTCACATAGACGTGTCTACTAGTGGCCCCCACCAGGTGCAAGTGCAACCTTCGGTGGACGAAGTCAACCCCGAGTGCCAGCGCGCGTCGCTGCCGCGCCTCGTCAACCGCCGCGTGCTCACGACGCTCTCGGTAGCCGCGCTCTGCTACTTTAACGTCAGCGGCGGGCCCGTCGGGTCGTCGCAGATCTTCTCCGCGGGTGGGCCGCTCCTCGGTCTCATCGCACTGGCGATCTTCCCGTTCATTTACTGCATCCCGCTCGCGCTGGTCACGGCCGAGCTCAGCACGACGTACCCGGAGAACGGCGGCTTCACCGTCTGGGTCTTCCAAGCCTTTGGTCCCTTCTGGGGCTTCCAGGAAGGGCTCTGGGCGTGGGTCTCGGGCGCGATCGACAACGCCATCTACCCGGCGCTGACGGTCCAGCTCATCTCGACGTACTCCGAGTCGCTCACGGAAGGCGTCTCTGGCTGGTTCCTCAAGGTCGGCGTCGCGCTCATCTACGCGCTGCCCAACATTTTCGGCGTCCGCCTCGTCGGCTGGGGCATGGTCACGCTCGCCTTCATCGTGCTCGTCCCGTTCATCGTACGTCCTATTTCCATCTCGGATGGAGATGTCTCATAGCTGACTCTAGATTTTCACGATCTGGGCGTACGCGGCCGCGGAGGACTGGTCGTCGCTGCACATGATCCGCCGCAACGACACGACTGACACGGACGTGGGCACGGGCCCGGCCATGGTATTCGAGTTCTTATCCCCATTCTGGAATCTCACATTTGTCGAAATCTAGATCCAGTGGGACCTGCTCATCAACACGCTCTTCTGGAACTACAACGGCTTTGCGAACGCGTCCGTGTTTGGCGGCGAGGTCGCGAACCCGTCGCGCACCTACCCGCGCGCGCTCATGATCTGCACGATCGCGGTCATGCTCACGTACTTTTTCCCGCTCTCGGCCTCGTCCGTGTACAACTCGCCGACGTGGCAGACGTGGGACGACGAGGCCTTTTCGTCGATCGCGCAAAACCTCGGCGGCGACACGCTCCTCGGGCTCATCACCGTCGCGACCGTCGCCTCCAACTGGGGCCAGTACTCGTCGCAGATGTTCGTCGTCTCGTACCAGCTCACGGGCATGGCCGAGTGCGGCCTCGCGCCCAAGATCTTCCTCAAGCGCGCCGAGCGCACGGACGTGCCGTACGTCTCGGTCGCGCTCAGCTTCCTTGTCATCGTCATCCTCGTCGGCTACGAGTTTGAGGTCGTCGTCAACATGACCAACGCGGTGTCGTCCATGTCGATCATCCTCCTCCTCGTCGCCGCCATCAAGCTGCGCGTGACGCACCCCAACATCCACCGCCCGTACAAGGTGCCGGTGAGCACCAAGGTGCTCGCGCTCCTCCTCACGGTGCCCGTCGCGATGCTCTGCTACATTGTGTACACGGTCTTCGCCCTCGACACGATCGTACCCGGCATCCTCGTCGGCGTCGTCATCATCGTCGGCGCGCTCTACGCCGTCGCGCTCAAGCTCACGCCCAAGCACTTTGTCGACCCCAAGGCGACCGCGTCGCTTGCATAGCATCGCCAATCGTTGAAGAGAAAACTAAGTTATCGAGTAAACAACGACTGTACCATGGGCCATTTCACAAGATTACAGCTCGTCGACGGACGCGTAGAGTCGCTGGTCGGCAAAGTAGAGGCGGACAAAGACGTAGACGGCGATGAGGCAGCCCATGTAGACGCAGAGGACGAGCATCGAGCGCTGCGCTTCGCTCGCGTCTTCGGCGTCGATGGCGTCGTCGTGGAGGATGCCGGCCTTGACCTGGAGGAGGCCGTTGGCATTCATGCTCAGCGTCACCGGGTGCTGGATCGCGCCGGCCTTGCCCCGCACCTTGCGCGGCAACACAAAGTCAAAGTACGTCAGGTACGTGTTCTCACGCGCCACCGGCGACTCGCCCTCAAACACCTACCCCTGCGCATCAACCTCGGGTTGCGGTGATTATGGACGACCTCGATGGTGAAACCGGCCTGGTCGTCGATCGCCGTGTCAAAGTACTTGGTCACCGAGACGGGGATCCGCGAGTTCTTCTGGATGAGCACTTCCATTGCGCCGTCGGCCTTTTCAATGCCGATGCTCATCGGAATCACATCGAGCATCAGCACGTCCTACTTGACATTCTAGACATTCTATCAAGGTATCAACACGACAAAACGGACCTGGAAGACTTTCTTGTCGACGCCGCTGAGAATCGCAGCCTGGATCGCAGCGCCTTCGGCCACAACCTCGTCGGCGTTGACCGACGTGCACAATTCCTACCCGACGGTACGAATTCCACTCGTAATTCGTTGCGAACGAAAAACCTTGTCGTTGAAGAAGGCGCGAAGACGCGCTCGGATCGCCGGGATGCGCGTCGAGCCACCGACAAGAACGACTTCGTCCACGTCGCTCGGGTCGACGTCGATCGACTTGAGAACCTCGCGCGTGATGCGCAAGCACCTACGCATCCACGTTAATTCCTACCTGGACGCATGCTCAACGTACTTTTTATACAGCGGGTCGCAGAGCGCGTCCAGCTTGCGGCGCGTGAGCGTCATCTCGTGCAGCGCCACGTGCCCGACGTTCGTCAGTCGAAGCACGGTCTCGTCATCGGTCGAAAGTGCGACTTTGGCCGCTTCAACTGCGCGCTGGAGCTGCACCATGTCGTGCGTCGCCAGCGGCAGCGACACCGGTCCGTGCTTCTTGGCGATCGCCTGCAGCACGTGGTCAAAGAGAATGTTGTTGATGTCTTCGCCGCCGAGGTGCGTGTCGCCCCTAAACCACCCATGGCATCCAAAGCGAACGATAGATTCGAGTACCCGACGCCCTCGACCGTGAACGTGCCGTCGGCGATGTGCAGCACCGAGACGTCGAGTGTGCCGCCGCCAAAGTCGAACACCACCACGCGCTTCGTGCCCTATCAATACCAGAGAACCTTGAGCACGGCCATTGCAGTATGATATGGATCTACCGCCACAAAGAGACCGTAGGCCATGGCGGCGGCCGTCGGTTCGTTGAGGAGTCGAACGGCCGAAAAGCCAGCCATGGCCGCCGCCTCGAGCGTCGCCTGGCGCTGCGGCTCGGTAAAGTACGCGGGCACCGTGAGCACGCAGTTGGCGATGCGTTCGTTCAGCTTGGCCTCGGCCGCTGCCTTGAGCTTCGAGAGCAGCAGCGCTGCGACCTCGGACGGCGTCACGCTCGTCTTGCGCGCCGGCAGTGCGATCGACACGTGGCCGCTCTCGCCGTCGCAAAGCGTGTACGAGAGGTACTTTTGGTCCGGCGAGGCATCGGCGAGCGACTGCCCCAGGAGGCGCTTGGCGCTGCGCACGGTGACGACATCTGCGTCCGAGGCCTCGGCGGCGACGGCGGCAAAGCCCACAGCCGGTGCGCCTGTCGGCGGAAACGAGACGACGGATGGCAGCGTCTTGGCCTTCGTGTCGCCAGCGCTGTGGTTGACAATCTTGACGTGGTTGGCGTGCAGCTTCCAGTACCCGACGCCTACGTGAGGCTAAGCACTGCATATAGGTAGATGCAGTACGAACAGGAGTTGGTCGTCCCGAGGTCGATGCCAATGCAGACGGTGCCATTGCGGAACTCGTGGGCGTTGGCGCCCCAGCTCTCGTACGTCGCGTCGCTGCTGGACATGGCGGTGATATTGCGTTTGGGAGGTCACACCACCCATGTGTGTATGTGATTTGAGAGGATGTCTTGAACGTTTTGAGCGGTAATCGCATGGTGACTTTAAAAACTACTAATAGTTAGTCACCATGCGAGTTAATAACTACCGGTACAACTATTAGTATTAACACATTGATTGACGACCACTATTATATATTGGTGTCGTTTACAACTGGAATACTAAAACTCCTAGTTGATCCGGAACGTACGAGCGTTCCATTTAAGCAGCATTGTCAGCTCCCAACTGCGTAACCAAACGGTTGGCGCCGTCGGTGATCGTGACGATGGTCGCCTGAATGGCGACGAAGCGTTCGTCGTCAATGTCGGTCACGTCGGTGTTTGCCATGAGTTGGACCAAAGCAGCAATGTTGACGTCTCCGAGCATCGTTCTCGCAGCGTCGAAGTCATTTTGGCGCGTTGGGTCACGTAGATCGTTGACGTTGGCATCCTTGACGTACTTGCCGCCCTTCTTGCCGCGCGGGCGAGCAGTAAGCCGAATGTCGTTGCGGTTCCGGAGCGAATGACAGATGCGGGCAAAGTTCTCTTGCGTGAGCGGCGTGTGGGCATCCGTGGTGCTGTCCGTGCACACGATGTGGTATTGCTTGTTCGCCAAACCGGTGCCGATGAACTTGTAGTTGAAGATCCCCGGGATGACGTTGCTATTCCCTTCAGCCTCGTCGAAATCCATGAGATAGGGCTCTTCACTCCGAACGCAGCGGCCGTCCACCTCACATCGAAGCGTCACGGTAATTCTTGGATCCAATGCCATGAGTTCGTCGCTTGCTCGGCTCTGCAAATGCAATAATGATCCTCTTTATGTTGGCAAACCACGCTTACCGGTATCGTCGGCTCGTATCTTGAACATGGATGTTTCAAGTCCAGCATGAACACCACCGAGGATTTCTTTTCGAGAAGCAACTGAGAATGCTTCGATTAAAGTCGACGTCGAAGCGCCATTTGAAAACGAGCCTGCTTTGTGATGTACTAGTACCTCGCTTCAAGCACCGAGACATCCCACACACTACACGACTTTATGATGGCCACCCCTGCAGCAATCGAAGAATACTCGCTATGGTTTCTAAAGCAAGGGATACCCGTGAACGGCCGTTTCAAAGCCCACCATTACTGTTAATATGGACATTGAAGGTCCATTTTAATAGCGTTCGAGCGATACATTCACGACGACGAGTTTTCGTGTCGAGAATATTATTTCATACAGTACCATTAAAGCATTCCACTTCAAAAATATATTTAGAACGATTAGCTACTGTCGACAGACAGCAAGGCGGGCGGTTACTGTCTTGAACCCACAATATAGAATGATACACGACGGACCAATCGTTGAAACAGTGTTTCTTCGCAACTTTCCGCTTTGTAATGATTTTGCTTGTAGGCTGTGGTGAGGTTTCTTAAGCAAGGGATACTCCAAGTGGGCGGCCGTTTCAGACCTCCACACATCACTCTCCTGTCGCCAATATGGACGTTGAAGGTCCATTTTTATCTTTGCCGTGTGTTTCCATACAATAGTTATAGTATGCATTTGTGTCCCCGAATAATAATTCATGCCACAACTTGCAAGCATCGGGTTCTACAAATATAGAGCAACTGCTGTTGGGTTGGGGGGGCAGGTACAGCTGACGGACGTTGTTTACAACTTGAATATTCTAGAGGGAAGCCGCAGCCGAGCAGTTGGCGTTGGGCGAGCTTCAAGAATCTTATCCTTCTGTTGTTGTTGAACTGAGTTATAATAATCTTTTCCTTCTGTTAGTTGGCTGTTGACACGCACGTATCCTCCATGACTCGCAGGTGGCAGCCGCTTCCGCAATTTCACCGATCTCCTTGCCTCTCGCGTTCGAGCTCTGCTCGACGTTGGTGTTGGCTGCACCAAGACCCTTTGCGTCGCATCGCTCTCGAAGTGGCCACCTTTTTCGATTCAAGCGGTGTCGGCTACGGAGCGAAACATTCTAGATATACTATCAGCAACCGCTGTTGACTAGCTAAAGCTTCGAAACATATAATGAATGCCACATGTAGTGACACAGCTTTTCGAACGGCTTGCCTGGGCACGTTTGATTGCGATTAAAATGGACCTGCAACGTCCATAATGGCGTTAGAAGGGTGATGTGGGGGTTTGAAACCGCCATCCACCGGGAGTATCCCTTGCTAGACACCATAGCGAGCATTCGTCACCTCCGCATCTCACCAAACCAAACTGGAGCTACGCACTATATGGAGTGCCCCATGTTGCTTGAAGCGAGGGAGCGATCTCGACCTCGACCAGTTCTCTGACGCCCACGAAAGAGAAAAGGCGAGCAATTCACAGATTATGATTTGTATTACTACTCGATTGCAATTAAAATGGACCTTGAACGTCCACAATGACGACAGTAGGGCGTTGTATGGAGGTCTGAAACGGCCGGTCACTGCGTTTACAGGGAATCAACCCCTCGCTTTAAAACCAGAGCGAGTATTCTTTACTTGGCGCTTCAGTTGCAATAAACAACCAATGTGCTGAAGTAATGTACTAGTATGGTGCTTGAAGCGAGGTTCTCACTCCCCGAAGCGGGCTCGTTCTCTTGCCACCATCAGGTATTCAATTCGACAACCGTGTTTTGCATCAAGCGCCTAGATTTTAAACTGGATTTGAAAGATCCATCGTTGCCGCGCGTCGTCACCTTGACTCGGATCACTTTTCCATTGGCCCAGCCAAGCAAGCGACGAACCCATCACCATGACTCGCGTGACGCTCGTATGCAATGGCCACGAGCCGAAAAGCGCAACCGTGGATCTCGGCGCGTTGAAACGCGACGCCACCAAGATCCCGACTCTCTTCAACTTGTCTTTTCCCGGCATTGAAGGGCAGGAGTACCACATCGAGTGCTCGGACGAAGACAAGAACCATGGGCCGCTCGCGATCGATAACGTCGGCGACATATTTGCTTCACTCGAGGGCCGTGCCGACATAACATTTACTGCTCGTCCCGGAGGCCAAAAGGGCGGACAATTGCCTCGCCACGCCAGTCTGATCGCCAGCGCTGCCCCCGCCGGAGACAAGTAGAGGACCCAACTCGCCAGTGCAGTTTACTGCACAATTTGTTCCCAATAAAGGACAACCCCGGCTTCCGTTGTGTATGCATACGTTGTCTCCGGTTTGCGAGAAGGCTGCTCAATTAACGGCGGCGTCGCTGCGCTACCGAGTAGAAAGACTTGGAAACGCGTACTAGTATCGAGCACTGTCTCATGTACGACATACAAGCATTACTGCAGCAGGTCGCTGCGGAAGCCCAATAGCAGCGGCGACGTGGTCTCGGCCAAGTAGACTTCTAGCGCCAGACCCGTCTCGATCGGCGACGCTCGCGCCTGCAAATGCAGCTCCACGACGTGGTTGGCATCGCCCATCCGGTTCTCTTCGAGCCTAAGAGATCATCCATATAACGATAGTTGATATCATCGCACAACGTACAGCTGTGCGACAACGTGGTCCAGCGCTGGCGAGGGTGACAGCGACGACGCGACAAACTCGCAGTACGACGGCGCAATCTCTGCTTGGCCGAGGACGTCGCGTGTGCATTGGCGCTCGACGACGCGGTCGGCGACCCACGAGAGGCAGCGTCGATGGCCGGCCTCGAGACGGTCCAGCGGCAGTCGAAAGAGCACGCGGAGCAGCGCTACGAGGTAGCTCGCATCCCGCGCCACGAGCACCTCGAGCATCGCCAAGCGCGCCGACTGCTGCGGCACCGTGAGTGCGCACTCGACCGCGACGTCGCGAAGTGGCAGTGGCAGTTGCATGTACGTCAACCCGTCGAGCGCATCGACGAGACCTCGGAGGTCGAGGCGCTCCAAGAACGGACACTGCTGCAGACTCAGGACGATGCTCGATAGCACGTGCTGCACGCGCGGCACGTCGGCGTCGTCCAAGTGCGAGGCTGCTGCCAGTTGCTGCAGCGGCCACAGCAGCACGCGGTTGTAGAGCGCCACCATGTCCTATGTCCACATTGAGCAACGCTCAGTCGAATGAAAAAGTGACCATAGACGACGCCTGAAGCGCGGGAAGACGGCTGAGGGGTCGCAGCAGCTGGAAGAGCGACGGAAACATCTCGAGCACCGTCATTTGCGATAAAATGCGCTGCCAGAGCGTCGCGTCATGGATCGTGTACGCGAGCATGAGCGTCGCGAGGAGGTCGACGACATCGCGCTTCGTGTGGTGTTCGCGCCAGAGTCCGCGCACGAGCGCCGCCTTGTCGCACTGGACAAAGTGTCCAAACGCTTGTGGAAACTGCAGCGCCTCAAAGCGCGCCAAATGACAACAGTGCTACACATGTCACAGCCTCCATCTCAAAATGAATGCGAAGAGTACCTGGCGCATTGCGAGCAGCTGCGCGTGCGTCACGCCCGATAGGACGTTCTCGACACTGGCGTCGAGCGTCCGGAGAAGCTGCACGAGCAGCTGCAGCGCACGGTGCTTGGCGCGGTACGTGACGCCAGACCGCGGCGCCGGGTTCGACGCATACGCCCACAACGCCGCGCCTGTTGTGGCCAGCGGCTCGTCGGCGCAGGCGTAGACGAGCCGGTCGACAAGGGCCGTCTCGTCGGGGTCGTCTCCGGCGCCAAACGCAGCCCAGAGACCAGGCGCGTTGTTGGATGGTGGCGCGCACTGCTGAAGACGCCGGAGCATCCAGTCTTTCCGGATGCTGCTGATCGACTGGCGGTGCAGCCGCGCGACTTGCGCGGCCATGGCGTTCACGAGCGGGCTCATTTGCTTGTGCGCAAGGTGGCCAAAGGTCTCGTAGAGGTGCCCGATGACGTCAGCGGGTGACGTGTACGGCGGACACGGCGTCGGAGCTGCATCTTCTGCAAAGTGGTTCGCAGCTGCGAGCCAGCACTGGTCGGTTTGGATGCGAAGCAGCTTGAGCTGCAGCCGCGTCGTGGCCTCGGAGCCCACGAATGCGAGCTTGGCCTCGTCCCCTTGCTGCGCATGTGGCGTCGCCTGCGTCAGCGACAGAGCAAACTCGAGCGCAGCGACCGTGTGCTCTTGGAACGGCGGCTTGTACTTTTCCGAGAGCCATTCTGTCGTCGTCACCTATCCAATTATCAGGGACGCAGCGATCGGATTGAAGAAGCTACCTTATGCTGGAGGCTGCTCAGATGCTGAAGGATTTCGGTAAATGAGGCAAACGACAGCGTCAACGACTGCTCGGTCGTGTGCTGTAGCACCAGCTTCTTGATGAGACGCATGTACATCTCATCCGGGTCGAGGTCGAGCGGCCCTGAGAGGGACACCAGTTGCACCTACACAAGTGTGAAGGACTTTATCATGCCAAAGACGGTCGAGTACCACGGACGCCGACGACAGTTCCGGCTCGAGAACTGCCCACGGGTCGTGGAGCAGCTCGTGGAACGGCAGCGGCGGCTGGAACGACTCGAGAAAGCTCAGCACTTGAAGTCGGTTGGCGATTTCGTCTTGCTCGCCAAAGTTGGACTGCTGGAGTAGCTCACCTCGAACCGCAGGCGCGCATAGTCCCGCGTCGGGAGGGTGCCGAGCACCGAGACGAGCAGTTGCAATAGCTGCAAAGAAGGTCACTCATACGACCACTGTGATGGTGTCGAACCTCGTGCTGGTGAATGTCTTCGAGGACACCCACGATGCGACTAGTGTAGTCGGTGCTGCTCGTGTCCAAGAGGAGGGCCTTCACGAAGAGAAGGCACGGGTAGCTGTCGGGGATGTTGTACTGACGCGTAAACTCAAGGACGCAGTAGAGATCGAGCGACGTGGCTTGCAGCAGTTGCGGCACGATGGCCTGGAGCACTTGGACGTTTCGCCGTTCGCTCTGGAAGGCCTGCCGAGAAACATGAGCCTGGCACGTCCATATGTCGAGTACCTTGTGCTCGCAGGCGATGCCGAGGAGGTTGAGGTGGTGCCACCACTTGGCGTTGCTCTCGAGCTCGTTGCACTGGTTCAAAAAAGCGATTTGCTGCCAATTGCGCGCCGCGTCCGACCCGATTCGAGCCAACTAGACTGCACATGAGACATTTTTGCGGGTGATCAAGCGCACCTGCTGGAGCCGTGCAAAGTCCTTGTAGACATTCTCCCGCACAATCTGCTTCTTGAACGCCGTGTACGCCGACTGCTGCTCCATGCTCAAGAGATATCTACCACTGTTCTCAGCAACAACAACAACAAATGTCACGAGACTACCCGAGAGCCAAGTCCCGATCGATGCGCGGCGCATGCATGATGACCGAGAGCATGTGATCGAGCTGGCGACCAAGCACCTACACCAAACGCAGACTCTAGGACGCTGGTGCGATGGAGACAACGTACCGGGCGTGCGTCCTGCGGGACCGTCGGCATGTGGAGCAGCGCTTTGATGGCCAGCGGATGTGCCTGCGCGTCAACGAGGTGCGAGAGGAGCGGCGTCGCGGCCATCACGAGCCGATCTTCGTCGCTGTCGTGTGTCCAGAGCGCCATCACATACTGCACTGCGAGCGGGACCACACTCGGCGCCAAGACGACCGACGACCCGCGGTACCACTCGTCGTATACCTACGCTCAATCGTCTACAGACAACACAAATACAGTGTCGTGACTACCCGCCACGATTGCAGCGCTTCATAGATAGCGTCCCGCTGCCGCGTCTGGTCGTCCGTAAAGCTGTAAATGTGTTGGAGAAGCGACGCGAGCTTGAGGAGCGGCCACGCCGTGATGACGCGAGGGTTCTGCAGCACGGCCAGCGTCAAGATTTCGACGGCGAGGTTGATGTTTGGCGCGTGCTGCACCGTTCGATTGGCCGCCACCAGATGGCGCAGCAGTGCGACCGCAACGTCTTTGAGCTGCACGGGGTGGGACCGCCGCGCGAACCGCAGCGCCTGGTCCGTGTTGCCGGCCTTGGCGGCCAGCAGCGCGAGGAAGGACCGAAATTGGTCGGGCGTCTGGCCCAAGAGCGAGCTCAAGCGCTGAGTCGTGTTCACGGCCGCTAGCGCCTCCGCAGACGCTGCAGGCGGTTTCGCGACCGTCACCACCTGCGTCACGCGTTTGCGCTTGAGCGACGGCGCCGGCGGCGTCAGGGACTTGACCCATGGCTGCAGCTGCGACTCGAGGAGCTCCGTGTGGCTGCCGTCGCGCTGGTACGTGCGCAGCGAGAGCGCGATGCCAAACTCCTTGAAGAGCGCCGCCATTTTTATCAGGTCACGGCGCAGGGGTAGCGTGATCGTCCGCTCCAAGAGCGCGTGGGGGCCGTCTTTCGCAGCGTCGTACTGCGTGAGGACGGCCGAGACGAATCCGAGCACGTAGCTGAGCGCGTGTCCCAGCGCATCCTTCTCGCCGTTGCGCTCGTAGGTCTCAAGGCGCAAGAGCCCAAACTGGACGACCTCGACGGCCACGGACCATCGCGTCGGCGTCGCGAGCGCCTGAGTCACGAGATAAACGCCAACCCAAATAAATTGCCTACCGGTACCTTGAGTGCCGCGAGAAGGCGGCCTTGCCGCTCGTCCGACCACGTCGACGCAAGAACGTTCTGAGAAAATTGCACGACGATGCGGTGCTCGTGGAGGTGCCGAAAGGCGCGTGCGAGCTGCAGCGCGTCGTCGAGTGCGGACGGCCGGTCAATCTGTCCGCAAATGAACCGGCAAAAGCGCGACGCAAACAGCGCGTCCGTGGCGAGGAACGGACGAAGACCGTACGCGACGCACATGTCCTGGAGCTCCATGACGCGCAGCTGCGCTTGGAGCTCGACGCGGCACAGGCTCGGCCACGTCCCCGCGTCGTGCGCCAGAGCCACAATCTCGGCGTCGTACGGCGCGCGGACGGCCTGCAGAAACGCCAAGGCTGCCGCCGCACGCTTCTCGACGCTCTCGATGCGCGGGATGAGCACGCGGCACCGGTGCGCCTCGGTCGTTTGCAATAGCTACGCGGCATTTCCAGTGCCGATACCAATGCGACGCGCAAGTACATACCTGGCTGCTCGTCGCCTTCTCCGCAATGTACTCGGTCAATACGTCGTCGAGGGAGACAGTGTCGCACAAGGCGAGGAGCGGCTGCACGTGGCAAGCGAGCTCTGACGCCATGAGGTCGGGCACAAGGACGCGGTCCAGCATGCTCATGGCAATCCCCGCCATACTGGCCTACGCAGATATCAGATCTCGACGGCGCATGCGACCGCGTACCATCTGGAAGGCGCGAAGCGAGAGATGAAACCCATGGACCTCGTCCTACACCGCGTTCAGTATCATCTTTCAAGCCATATTCGTCGCGTCGTACCAGGTAGGCGAGCTGCTGGAGCTGCACGTCGAGCGCGCGGAGGTCGTCGTGTGGCGACTGATGGCCGTCGCCATGGCGGGGCGGGTACCGCCAAAGGCGGTCTTTCGGGATACGCTGCGGTCGCAGAAGCTCGGTCCACGCCCGCGCTTCGTCGACGTCACCGTCGTCCGCCAAGGCCGTCGCGCGCTGCACGATCGCTGTTGTGAGGTCGTGCAGCGACACGCGATACTCCTCAAATGCTGGGAGGACGTCGTCGAGGATCCACGACCGCACCGTTTTTGCCGAGACATCACTCGGAAGGAGCTCGAGCGAGAAAGCGCGCACCAACTCGGTGCTCACGTGGCGACGCCAGAGCACTTGGAGCCGCGACAAGGCGCCCTGCGTGAGGAGCAGTCGCAGCACGTCGTCGAGCGGCGCCGACCGGAACGAAAGCCACGCGTCGAGTGCGATCGGGGCAACGTCGGGCGCACAGAGCAGTTGGAACGTCGTCCACTTGTACTGGACGCTCGCAATGCGCGCGAGGAGCGCCGCGTCGGCGAGTCCGTCTTGCTCGTCGTACGCCCAGCTCTCAAGTGCATCGAAGAGCGTGTCCATGTCTTCGCTGCGCGGAAACGTGAGCTCCAAAATGGCGGCAATCGCGTCTGGCGACGCCTGCACGTGCGTCCAGATCGCGAGCTGAAAGGACTCTGTCGACACCGCGTGGTTCGGGTCTTGCATTGCATCGCAGAGTTGCTGGAGAGGCGAGACGCCCAAGGGTGCGAGCGGCGCCTGCTGCTGGAAGACGCGGTATGTTTCGATGACATTTTCGCTCGTCATCCCGATCAAGAGAAGGTCCGGACCGCACGGGACCAGCACGCTCTTGCGTCGGCCAGGACACGCGATCGACGTGCAGCTTGTCACGTCGCTAGTCGAGCGCCACGGCCCTCGGTACTGCAGCGAGACGACCTGAACCGTCACGGTCGTCGTATTCGTCTTGCAGGCGACGGCGAGGCTCCAAGGAGAGAGCGCGCAGGCTGCGGCGATGTTCTCGACGGGCAACTCGTGCAGGAAGGTCAGCGTCGCAGCGTCCCACCTGCACACATCGCCATGAGCGTTTCTCGAGAAGCGACAAGAGTACCATGTGATGCAAGAGGACGATACGACCACGAGGAACTGCGCGTCGTCGCTCAGGTGCAGGTGCAGAACGGGCCCGGTCGTCGACGCTATTGTCACGCTGCTATCGCGCTAGCGTTCTATGAGCCTCCAGTACTCCAATTCGAGCTCTGGCACGTACGATGAACGAGTGTGAAACCTTGTTGGGGTCGCCGGGCGCCGGAACGAGTCCCGAAGTCCACCGAGAGACGACGGCCTGACCGTGGTTGGCGACAAACACCGTCGTGGACCCGTTGGGGTTGCGCGCCAGTTGCATCTACGCCCATGTTGGTCAAGAAAAGCGCGATGGGCAACCTGTACCATGGACGAGCGCTCCGCATGCGTCTGAGCGCCCACGGCAGCCATGCGCAGTCGGACCTTCTGGAAGAGCGTTGGGAGGGCCGGCGGCGGGTCCACGGCGAGGTCGTTCAAGTCGACGTCCTCGACCGCGATGAGCTTTCCGCTGCGTAAAAGTACGAATATGTCGAGGAGCGTTCCATCGCGCACGGCCATCTGCGCTTGCGTAATGGGGTCGTCCTTGGCAATGGGGTACGTAAGGAGCACCGTGCACTCGTCGCCGTCGCCGACGCGGGCGAGCTGCACGGACCCGTCGAGCAGACCTCGCAGCTCCAGCTCCATGGAGCCATGTACGATCGTCGAGATGCAGGTCACGGCCGCGCAGCGCTCCCATCGCGACGCGTCCAGACCCATTTCGACGCAGCGGCTTGAACCTCCGTCGGCGCCGGACATGGCGAGGAGCATGCGCGGGCGTCGGCCTGCGTCGAGGAGGAAGCAGTGGTTCATGTGCATGGGGTCGTCCCCTTCCTCGCGGAAGGCCTCCATGCGCTCGTGGCCGTACGTCGCTTCCATCGTCCGCGCCTCGGCGCTCCTCAGGTGCGAAAAGGTTCGAATTTCAGCCAATCAGCGCGCGCGGCCGATGGCGCGAACGACCTCCACTTTCGGATCGGATAAATGCACGCAACTTTTGGCTCCCTTCACCAAGGCGCGGCCACCACCGCGAGCAGCCAAGGTCCAGTCCTAACGCGCTTTCCTCGCCTGCTCATAGTCGAGGTGCTGTACTAAGAGAAGCGACTGGGATCATCACGTTCATTCTTTCTCCATCTTCGCATGGAACCCATGACGCTACACTTGCACACACTCGGCAAACTCGGGCGCCTCGATGAGCGTCCCTAGGAGGCGCTCGGCCTGCTCGCGCGGTCGTGGCGATGCGAGGTTGGCGACAAGAAAGAGCTCGGGGCTCACGCTCGCTCGGTGGAGGTGTCGGCGCACCCTCTGGTACTTGGCCAGCGTCTCCATGACGCCCATGGCGCGGACCTTCTGGTCGTCGTCGCCACTCGGGTCCGAGAGAAGCGCCACGATCGCCTTGAAGATCTCGCTGGACACGAGGTCGGGCGCATGCTCGTCGGCGCTGTCGTGGCGTGCGAGCTCCTCCAAGAGCGCGGTCACCCTCTCCTTCTCAGCGCCTTTCGCGATGAGCTGCACGAGGCCGTTGACGCCGTTGCGGACGAGGACGGTCTCAGGCGCGGCCGGCATGAAGCTCTTGAGGAGCTCGAGGCTCGAGCCAATGATGGCGGCCGGGTGCTTGGTAAGAAACTCGGTCACGATCGCTGTGCCCCGCGCTTTGGCGGTGTCTCGGTCTGGATCTGGTCGATGCTCATAGAACGCTTCTCGCTCACGGGCGAGAGCAAGTGCCCGTAGAGCATCGCGCGGTACTGCGATACGCTCGCCAGAAAGTGGAGGCACTCGAGCGTCAGCGGAATGCTGTCGGATGTCGATGGCTCCCAGAGGTTGCGCAAGAGACTGCGAAGGCGCTCGATGAGCTCCGACGTCCGCGTTGGGTCGTCGTGGAGACACCCAAGCGCAAAGAGGATGCGCAGCGCGTTCTTGCGCTCGAGGACGACCAGAGACGTGTCTGCGTGCAAGCCGACGGCGCCGCGGATGTCGGGCACGCCTCTCCGCTCGGTTGTTGCGAACCGCTCCAAGTGATGCAGCACCTCGAGCGACGGGCTCGCTTCGTCGAGCGTTTGGTCCCGCAGCATGTGGTGGAGGAGGGCAGGCACACCGCCTTGGGCGATGACAGTATCCATCGCAGCGGCATTCCTACCGACGACAGCCGAGAGCTCGTCGATGGCTCTCGCAGCTTCCTGCGCCGTCCCCGAGAGCAAGCTGCGCGACCACGACTGCGCAACCTCGGCGCTGATGCTCGGCGGACAGCTGACGACCGGCGGCAGTTGTCGGCTCTCGGCGCGAGCTAGCAGCTTTGTGGATTGAGTGCGACTCGGACTCGATGGCTCGAGCGTGTCGGCCACAAGACTGCATTCTGCGCGGCTGGACGGGCGGATCATCATGGTCGCGTTGAGTGGTGGCGAGCTATTCGATGAATGAGACTCGCAACGGCGCGCGACGGTTGCAACGTGTCGGTTGACCGCGTTGGTCTCTCCACCTCGATGCGTCATCGCACCTCCCACCCCCCTTGTAATACCTGTAGAGGTTTGTCTGGTTGGAACCTCCTGGTGACACCAGCCCACAGCCGATTCATCGTATAGCAACGTGTACATCATCAAGTGTATGGTATTTAATGGAGAGCCTACGTCGTGGGCTTGACGTACTCGTGAAAGTCGGGGTGCTCCATGAGCTCGTTGAGGAGGCGCTCGGCCACGTCGCGGCAGCGCGAAGACCCGAGGTTCGCGATGAGGTAGAGCTCGGGACTGATGCTCGCGTTGTGCAAGTGACGCCGCGCCATCGATGAGCGCACGAGCTTTTCGGTGACGAGCATGACGCGGACCTTTTGCCCGTCGTCCCCATGCGGGTTCTTGATGACGCCGACAAGCGCCACGCAGAGGAGAGCGCCGCAGCGGTTGACGCTCTTCTGAGCCTCGTCGCTTGGCTCTTGAAAAAACGGCTCCAGGACCAGCGCCACTTGAGTTCGGTGGACGTCGCTACCTTTCGCAATGAGCTGCACGAGGCCGTGGACGCCGTTGCGAACGACGTCGGGCGCCTCGTGCGACCCGCTCACGAGTCGCTTGAGGAACCCGAGACCCGACTCGAGCAACGAGCTCGGGCGGCGTTGCGACACGAGCTCCGTGAGCAGAGAGGACGACCGGCGCTTCCGCCTGAGCTGGGGTTCTTGGTTTTCATTTTCCGAGACGGATTGCCGCCGCTTCTCGACAGTCACGGTCGAGAGCACGTGGGCGAGCGCTTCTCGGTAGGCCGGGACGTTGGCTACCATGACCATCGTCTCGAGGCTCTCGAGCACGTTCTCCGGCGCCTGCGGGCTCCAGAGATCGCGCACGAGATCGCCGAGGTACCCGTGGATCTGCGTCAAGAGACTCGGTGGCGCCCTTGCGCCTGGAGGATATGGCTGCGCGTATGCAAACGAGAGGAAAACGCGGAGAGCGTTCCGGCGTTCGAGCACCACGCGCCCATACGCGAGGCTGCTCGCGACGCGGTCGAGCACGTTCGGTGCATTCTCTCGCTGCGTCATCGCGAAGACGAAGAAGCGGAAGAGCGTCTGAAGGGACCGCGCCGTCTCGCTGAGCGCCGTGTCGCGCACCACAAAGTGGACGAGCGCGGAAACGCAACCGTGGGCAATAAGAAAGTCGACGGCACTCGCGTCGTTGGCGCTCAAAATCGCATGCATTTCGGCGACCGCCGCGTGCGCTTCTTTGACTGTTCCCGAAAGCAGGTGCCGCGCCCACGTTTGCACGCTCTCCATCGTGAGCACATGCTTGGTGTGCTTGCTAGAAGCGAGCGTCGTGACCGAGAGGAGCGTGCCCCGGGGCGAGCTCGTTGTCGTTTTCTCAACCGGTCGCCAAGACTTTTGCTTGGACAAGATCGAGCGCTGCGACGCCTGCTTCTGGAGACTCTGCGGCGTGCTCGGGCGGTCGGGCGACTCCATTGCGTCAACTTTGATTGTGAGAAAAAGGCGCTTCCCGCGTCTAAATCGAGCGCAACGAACGGAACACCCGCCAAAATAAGTTGGCAATGTGCACCGCAGGTTAATATATATATCACAGACACGAATATTTATATATCACAAATGCGTGAAGTGACGCATCCAACGCCACAGGCGGCCTCGACCCTCACAAATATGGATGGGAACTCCGTGAGGGGCTAGGGTGCATAAGGGGTAGGGTGTCCCTCTGTTCGTATTTACTACAAGGGAATCTACTTTTGTCGAAGCAAGGCGTCGAGGGCGACGGCAAACATCGTCTCTTGGAACGAGCGCACGTTGCTCTTGAGGCGATGGAGGCAGTCCTTGACGCTGGCCGCGTTCCGGCTGTTGCTCACGTGGAGCTGCTGCAAGAACTAGCTCGGCGCTCTCACCACGTGTCCTCAAATACTATAAGAGCATACCTGTGCGATCGCTTGCTGCTGCGGCGCGGCGTCTTTCGCCGCGCAAATCCGCTCGAGCGTCGCGCCCATCGCGTCGTGCGAGAGGACGTCCAAGCTCGGCGACGAGTAAAACGAGACGACCGAGAGGATCGCGACGCCCACGTCGCACGTGGTTGCTGCTTCCAGCGACGCGATCACGAGCTGCTGCACCTGACCAAACACGCTGTTCAGCTGCTCGGGCTGCGACTTGGCGAGGTCTTCGAGGCACGCGTGCAGCACGACGACCGTCGCTTCCGACGGCAGCCGGCTCGTCTCGTGGTCGAAACCGAGCTGCTTGGCGATCGCGAGCGCGTCCCAAACGCCCCGCACCGACACCAAGTGGTACACGGCGCCGGACGCCCCTACGCATACGCTGGATGCACGCCCGCGAGGCGCAGCAGAGTACCGGTGACGGGCAAGCTCGCCACGTCGTCCGCGCTCTCCTGCACGAGGTCCGAGAGCATCGGCAACGGCAGACTCAAGAGCACGTCCGTGTAGTTGGCGACTAGATACGTATCTCGTCGACGCATCCAGACGCACACAAGTACGTACGTAGCTCAGGGTACCGCACATGCAGCTTGGCGACGTGCACGAGGCCGAGGCGCCGGAGGTTCAAGGACGCAGATGGCGTGAACTCGCGCTCGAGCAGCGCCAAACACATGTCCACATGACACTCGACGGCTGGCGGCGCCGTCGAGAGTGTTGCAAAATGCAGCACGGACGTGACGACCAGCAGCATTTGGGCCCGGACTTCCCACCTACGCGACCCGCAATTCGGCAATTGAGAAAGAAATATGGGAGAACGTCTACCAGGTCGATCGGAGGCTGAACGCGAGCAAGCGAGGGACGAGATCCAGGGCGAAATGCGGTGCCGACACCAAAAACTGCGGCAGCATCGAGATGCACGCGGCGCGGAGCTTCTCGCAGGCCATGTCGAGGCCGATGCAGCAGTAGTAATAATACAAGTCGGCGAGCGTGTCGTCCATCTCGGTCTCGAGCCCCAAGAGGAGCGCGAGGCAGTGGATAAACACCTGCATGTTGGGCAAGCCTTCGCGCAGCCGCTTGATCGTCTAAACATAGTATTGCTCAACAAGGTATTGCACACATGCGAGCGCAAACTTGGATGTGGGCGACGACTTTGGTCGATCCGAATGCGTAGATAACTCGCAGAATCGCATGCCGCTTCGTACTGGACGACACGAGAATCGACGAGAGCTGCGGCAGCGCGTAGTCGGACAAGGCGATCGCAGCGGCCGCCGGGTCCTACGCACCGCGTTGCATCGGATAAATGGCGAGCGGCGGCTTACGCGCTTGGTGCAGAGCGCGCCGAGGGTCGTCCAGAGCTGCACGCTCGCCGTAAAGATCGGGTTGTCGTCGCCAAAGTCGCGTAGAAAGGGCACCAAAAGCCCAGCAAACTAGAGACATTGAGATCCCGCGCGATGCAGAGAGCGTGCACCTTCCAAAAGTCTTTCGGGGAGTCCAAGAGCACGTTGGCGAGGACGCTGCCGGGGTCCACGAGGTCCCGAAACACGTCGGCCGCGTCATCGTCGCTGACGACGCCACCAGCACTCACGACGCTCAAGAAGGCATCGAACCGGTCCTTCCGAGCGTCCAACTGCGTTAAAATCGACGTGCCTGTGAGCTTGCGCGTGATGTACTCGTTGAGGAGGTCCTTGAGACGACGCTTTGGCGGCTTCTCGCCGAGCTCGAGGCCGTCGACGTCGGCGCCGTAGCCGTACTCGGCGTTGCTGGCGTTGACCGTCATGGCCGCCGAGGCTTCGCGCGTGGCGCGCAGGTGCGCGAGGTTGAAGTTGCGGTCGTCAATGGTTTTGATCTGCACCTCCTTGACGACGGCTTGCGTGATCACGGGCGATTCTTCGCCGAGTACTTTTTGGTTACGGGGGCGCACCTAGAAAAGGTGAGAATCGCGTGCTGGATCTGGTTCGCACCAGTTTGGACTCGGTGGACGAAGGGCCGTAGCGCTCCAGATCATTGAGTCGGTCCAGCTGCAGCGTTTCTTCGTGACGTGCGTGGACACTCCGCACCTTTTGCCCCATCTGGAGCTCGTCCGTCGTCTCGGCAAACTCGGGCCCGCGCATCTTTTCTCGAATGAGCGCGGACCCCGTCGGCTTGGCGTACGGCGGAATGTCCTCTTCGACTGGGCGCGGATGCACCTGCTGCAGCTCTCGCTTGGTCAAGCACTGGTAGAGCTTCCCGAGGTACGTGACGGCCGCGCCGTTCTCGCAGTGCATGACGGCGTCGGCCTCGGACTTGCCGCCGACGAGCTCAAAGTCGGGGACCTTGGCCATGAAGCGCAGGAGCTGGTCCCAGTTGTCCTTCTTGACCTTGAGGCCGATGCCGTTGTCGAACGAATGCATGCTGATATCCTTGTCGTAGTAGCGCGAGAGGATCTCAGCAATAAGAAACCCATTGGAAAAGTCCCTACGACGATGATACAACGATGCAGACAGTGACGTGGAGCGCACCGCTTGATGTTCTTGAGCGAGTAGGCCAGGTCGAGGCTCTGGAGCCACCGGAGGAGCTCGCGGTTGAGCTTGTTGGCACCCGCTGGCGCCACCGCACCGGTTGAGCCCGGGCTCGTCATCGCGTGCGAGTAAATTTAGACCCGAAACCTCTCGAGTGAATCCCACTAGCAGCAGAATACCATTCTGCAATTGCCTTAATTCAATGTACACCCAAGTGCTGGTTGACGACGCATGAGCAAGACGCTGGATCTGGACCAATCTGGACACCGAGGTATCGAACCGGCAACGTGAAGCGGCCTCGACAACACACTGTACATTGGCGCCAACGCCGTCTGGAATACACGCTTGGGATTGGCTGAAATTCAAATCCTAGCGCCAAATACACTGGAATCCATGTTGGTTGAAGTAGTATGTTTCAACCAAAAGCTATCGAGCAAGGACTCTTGTATAGACGGAACAGTATTAGCCGTCATCGGATGGACTCTTGGACCAGCGATCCTCCGATCGCGTCTGAGCAGCAGCCATTGATTCCAACTGCACTTCAACAATCGGTCTCCCGTTCGCGCGCAGCTGCGGCCGTATCCGGACATCCCGTTTCAAAATCGGTTCGTATCCGGTAAAGTGACGCAGGTTGATGATGGACGACGCGGGCTTGACGACGGTCCGCGCCGCCTGCCCACGGACGCAGTGGGTACCGGACGGCGCCCGCGCCTCCTGCATCGGCTGCGCCAAGGCCTTTTACCTCCTCCGCCGACGCCACCATTGCCGCGTCTGCGGCGACATTGTCTGCGGTCGCTGCCGCCGCACCGTCTACCTCCTCAACACGACATCCAACGTCGGCCACGCATGTCCCGGCTGCGCCTCGGCGCCCGAGATGGAGGCGATGACGCGCAGTATGGAGCGGCCGCCAGCGACGAAGGCGCTCGGAGCTACGACGTGGGGTGACCTCCAGGTGGCGGCGACCGAGTGCGCGATCTGCATCGAGCCCTACCGAGACGTGCGCGAGCTCGTCGCGCAGCTGCCATGCAAGCACGTCTTCCACACTCGCTGCATTGACCCATGGCTGGCCGGCCACGACGCCTGTCCGCTCTGTCGTCGCCACGTGTCCCTGCGTCTCGAGGTCATGCGCCAGTATCTCTCCTTTTAACTTAAAACGCTCTCATCTCAAGACGTCCACTCGATGGATACGAGAGGGGAATGTAGACAGAGGTCCTTCATCGATCCCAGCACTCTTAGAGAGACGGCATGGCGAGCGCTTGGCGCACCTTGGCGCGCAGCGCGGCGCTGTACGTGTAGAGGTGCATGCACTCGGCGTACCGGTCGGCTTGGAGCTGCATCTTGTACTTCAAAGTGGCGTCCATGGCTGCCGCCAACTCGTCGTATTCGGGCGTGCCGGGCCGCGCGATTTGCAGCGACGTCCGCAGTTCTTCTTCGTTGGCTTCGCTCACCTCGTAATGCGACGCCATGCGCTCGAGCTTCTTATACGAGTTGGCGCCGAGCGCCGCAATGTTGAGGAGCGTCCCGGGTTCCACGGTCGCCAAGCGCTGGCGCAGCACGGGTGACCGCGCAAAGACGCCTGCGAGCAGCTCGTCACGCGCCTCCATGAGCTCATTGACGTTCGTCTGCAGACTCTCCATGCGCGCATTGAACGCCACGACGCCGCCCGCGCTTGCTGGCGTCAGCGACTCGGATGTCGTGAGAAACTCGGCGTGGGCGTCGAGCGTCTTCTTGTTGACTGCGTTGAAGGCCTCGAACGCGATGATTTCGCGCGCCTCAGAGGCTTCGACCGTCGGCGGCGGCGGCGCCTCGCAGACGACTAGGACCACGTCAGGCGTCGTTGCGGTGGCGAGGACGTACGTGGCGTTGTCGTGTGCCCACGCACCGTGGCGACGCTCGCGTGGAGGTGGGTCCAGCACGGACTGCAGAGCTTGGCATCGCACGGGTTGCAGAGCACGGCGGCCTGGCGCTCTCTGCAGAGTTGGCACACTACACGGAGCGCGGCCTCAGCGGACCGGCGCGGCAGTCGCGGAAGTACCTTCGGGTGCGTCACTGCCCATCGCGCTGCAATAATTTCAACTGGCCGGCGGGGTCGGCCAGGTCCATTTCTGATTGGTTGAAATTGCGATCGTCGTGTAATTGGTTGAAATTGGATTCTAGCGTCCTGGGATTGGACAGCTGGCACCAATTCAACAGATATTCAAATGATACTGATGCCCCGAGCTTCAACTAACTCGCTCGAGCTCCGTGGTGTTGGTACCAGCCCACTCGTCCGACACCTCGTTTTATACATTGGAAGCACGACTGTTTAAGCTATCATTCGTTTATCCCAATCGCGGAGACCATGTCTTTACTGGATACGAGGACTCGCCTCCTTGTCGGGCTCCATGGCAGTCGACAGATGCGGCTTGTCGTCAAACAAACTGTCTTCGACGGCGGGAAAGGCGGTGCCGTAGTCGTCGTCGTCGTCCGTGTCGCGCTCCATCTCGGTCTCGGGCGATTCGTCTCCGATGCAGATCTCGTAGGCGTCGCTGACGGCGTCCATTTCGTACGTTCGGTCGTCTCGCTCGGGTTGTGTCATCGACCCCGCCTCGTCCGTGCTCGCATCACCCGTTGGCCTGACATCAGTTGCATTGCTCTCGTAGTAGCCGTACGTCGAAGTGTCGTAGCCAGCAGGCTGCGAGTGGTCGTACGCCGTGCCCTGAGACGTTTCGTAGACAGTAGGCTCTGTGGGCTGCGAGTAGTCGTAGCCAGCGTATTGGGAGGCGTCGTAGCCAGTGTACTGCGAAGGATCGTAGACCGAGGCGTCGTAGCCGGTGTATTGGGAGGCATCGTAGCCAGTGTACTGAGATCCGTCGTAGCCAGTGTATTGGGAGGCATCGTAGCCAGTGTACTGGGAAGGTTCGTAGCCAGCGTATTGGGAGGCTTCGTAGCCTGCGTACTGAGATGCGTCGTAGGCTGTATCTTGGAAAGTGCTGTCAACTGCGTACTCGGATGTGTCGTACACAATGTACTGAGAGGCGTCGTACGGAGTCGAGTTGGTGGTGGCAAGCGACGTAGGATCGCAGGCGGGGTCATAAATAGCGTCCTCGGAAGCACCGTCGTCGGTGGTCCCTTTCTCGTAGTATGTTTCTTCGAGCAGCGGTGCGGCGTTTGGCTCGATGCGAATGTCGTACTCGGTGTTGTCTTGCGCCATTACCAACGGCTCTGCGGCCTCTTGCTCGAGCAAAACATCGTTCGCGTCCGGGTCGAGATGCGAGATCTCAACGCTCAAAGCGTCCTCTTCCATCGCGCAGGGCGTTGGGACGTCGTCGGGCGCAGATGCCGTCGACGACAGTATCTCGTCTGCCGCATACTCACACGGACCTGAGACGCCAGGCTCCGAGTCGTCTGTTGCTTTTCCACCGCTCGTAGGGTCGTCTCTCGATGCGTCGTTGGTGCTCATCGCGGCGCCGTCGTGCATCTCCGGGGGCAGAGTGACGAGAGTCGGGCTACGGGGCTCTGCTGCTTCTGGCGGCAGCTCGTCCTCGACAGAGACGCTTGGCGCGAGACAGCCTGCGTCATCGACGACGTCCTTGGTTACGTCAACCTCGTCGGTCGGGCCGTCGTGAGGCACATCCTTGTCGCGGGCGAACGGCTCGTCGTAGCGGAGGTACATGCTGTGGATGTCGGTGCTCTCGGCCATGAGCTCGTGGAGGCGAATGTAAGACGTGGACGCGGCCTGGGGTCCGCGCGTGGACGGCGCCGCGCGACGCAGCAGCTCTGCGCAGCCACGCTGCCCCGCCGCAGTGGCCTCGTCGAGGGCCGTGTGCCAGTCCGTGTTGTGCAGCGATGTGTCGCAACCGAGGTTGAGCAAGTGCTGCAAAAGCTTTTGGTTGCCTACGCAGTTTTGATGACATCGCCTTCGCCTTCGCCGAACGCACCAGCGATCGCGGTCCAGTGCAAGGGCGTATCGCCTCGGGCGTCCCCGGCGTTCAAGTCGGCCTTGCACGAGCGCAGTAGACTCGCCTACCTCACATATGTATCAAGTTGATACATATATGCATCCAAATAC